CTAATTATTTGTATTCTTTCAATTTTATTTTATATCATAGACCTGATAAAAGACCATGCTCAGCCATAAACTAACAATATTTACATATTACAATTCCGTATGGAAGTATTATTTAATACACAACCATCATGCATTTTAAATTTGTAAGAGAGTAGTTATGAATTTTTTGAGGTACATTTTCATGTAAAATAAACCTCTAATGCAGATAGAAATGAACTTGCCATGATTGGTTTTGGTTTTAGAAAAACTTTGACTCAATTTAGACAAACATACTGAAAATTTCTTCTAGATTAATTTAAGAGTTCGGCGATAGAGATTATGTTAACAGAGCAAATGTAATAATGGCAAAACTATCAAACAATATATCCTGGTGACCACGACATAACTAATTAGAAATGGATAGGTGCTATTGGCTGCTATTGATAATATGAGGCTGGTAGCAAAGTAAAACTATTTGTTAACCCTAACTCAAAGTGCGGAAACAAACCAAATTATAAAATTGTCATATATTCCTGGACATTTTTAAATAGTATTTTTCAAAACAAAATAAACAACCATTAATTCTCTACCAAAACCCCAGGAATTCCTATATTTCTTATGTAGAGAAAAGAAAAACCACAAAAGTAATTGATTGTTATATAAAGTATAAAGAATTGGGAGGAGAAATTGGAATGATAGGAATTGAATTCCATAGAAATGCTGAAGTAAAGAAAGGTTTTCAGATAAATCTGATTGGTGGGGGACAGGCAGCTTTTTAATAGCAACTTATAAACTCTGGAACTGAGGAAGAAAAAAAAAAGGCCAATATCCAAAAGATTGAAATTTGAGTGGACTGCACTGCAACTAAAGTCCTTGTAACACTTTAGTAACTTCTCACACATATATGATGACCCGGTCCAACCATTAGCGACCATTCACACAACATGTGTGCGATCATTCAAAGTTATTGTTTATAGATAAAATTTGTTTAAATTAATTCTTCAAAAATATTGCTGGTCTTTGGCATTAAAGTGTTAATGGCCATTTTAATAGTTAATTAATATATACACTATTCTGATTTCATTTGAGCACTTCAGTCAAGTTTTGGGCATCCACCTCTCTTTTCAGAGGAACAAGATTTTTGATAGTTTCACTAATTATGTAATAACTATTTTCATAGAAAGGACATAACTAGAAAGGAAAAATATTTGTATATTAATTTAATTTTTATTAAAGTTACAAATATTTAAAATGATAAACAGAAATTTATTCTGCAATAAATATAAATATATCACAATATTACATATAACATGTATAAAAATTTGTATAAATGCAACCACATCACAACAAGAAATAATTAGAATAATGAATAGATCAACAAATTTAAAAAATATATACATATATTCTTTTAAAATCAATAGGTATAACAAATAAAAAATGATAACCCGGTAAACAGATTTACCTTTGTTGGTCTTGATTATCATTTTCAGGTTTTTGTTACATGCTGAGTATAATAATTATAATTATAACTAAAATTAATTTAACTATCAAGACATTAAAATGATGCGAAACACACAAAGAATTCATTATAATTAGAAATAAATTACATAAAGACTTTGTAATCTAACAAAACAGTGTCACAGGTCTGTGAACAATACAAATACTGAGTTGGATAGACCATTGAGCAACCTTACGACTCATTTTAGAGAAGAGAAGTGAATAATAAATAAATGATTTGGCAGATTGACTAACATGAAAAATATGTATTGAAGTATTTTAGTAAATTTATAGAATCACAATTGTTAATTTAACTGAAGGGTATCCAACCCAAGGCACACGTGCCACAATGTGGAATGCTGGGGGGCTCAGAATTGTTACATGGGCCATTAGTATGTTTCTAAATTTTTTATCCTAAATTTTGTCAATTAATATAAAGTACAAGTTCAATTTCTGGGATGAAAGAATATTTTACAATCGACATGGTTTGATGTAGGTAACATAATTACTATTTCAGTTCATACATTTTATTGAATGTTATTTATTAACTGAAAGTTATCAACTATTTTCATTTTCATTATATAGATATGTTCTCAAAATTCACGAAAAGGAAAAATAGTTTCAAAACGATACTATGTAGAAATAATTATTGTGAGAGTGGCACCGTTTTATGGAGTACAGTTGTGGTACGCCTTAATATGGAGAATATAGGCATAAGTTATAAAAGTTTGAGCACCCCTGATCTATCTCATTGGAGGACATAAAAAAAGTAGTTTTTTTACACTTATCAGTCAAGAGCTAATCGACATGCCATAGACAATATATTTTTATTAAATTTATTGCTGATAGTGATAATAATTTTAAAACCAAATTAAAGTGTTTATCGAAATATTTAACATGGTAATGCTTAAATATGAATGACCAGTACAGAACATTTAACATTAAATTTATGAATCACTTTAGTAATTTATGCACTTAGTAAAACAAATTGACAACCGTCATGAACTTTTAAATTTTTATTAAAAGGCTTGAAAATACCACAAAAAAGATTTAAATGATAAAACTCTCTGGATGGCATTTAAGCGAAAAATGTTCTGTGATAAACAACTTCTGTTACTAAAAATAAAACTATCAAAAACAATTTGTCAAAATAATTAACTTGACAGTGAAAGACGATGGCACAGAAAATTATTATAATAAATTTTAAAAAACAACAAAATGCAACAAGTTTAGAATACAACAGTAATTTATGATTACAATAGAAAAAAAAAAAGGAAACAATTTCCAAAAATCAATCAGTATTGGAAATTTAACAGGAGATAGAAGAAAAATTTTATCCAATAATAAAAATTGATATTATAAATAGAATCTGAAAGCATGGTAACTAAATGTTTATCACTATCATAAATTAATCAAATAGACAAGAAGTAATTTATGAAATTACTTAAAACTATTTTTTTGGAAATTGAGATACAAAAAGAGTTTTTTATTTTTCAGGATATTTTAAGCCAAAATGTACTATTATTAAATATTAACAGAAAAAATATGAGTTTAAGTTTAAAGACATATCGAATGACGAAATCTATTAAGATAATTTTAAAATCACATTCTCGGGTTTATTAACATTAGGAACCGACCTCCATGAAGTAAATATTTATAAACTAATAAAGTAAATGATATATCTATCTGATCAAATTAGAAAAAATAATTAAGTACCCAATAGTTAAGATAAGTACTGTTATGGATAACATTTTACATATTAAATGTTCGATTTCATTATAATTATTAAAAAAAAGAAAAATTATAAATTAACATCATAATGCATACAAACACCTCAATATTTATTTCACTAATAAATAAAATATCATAAAGACAATAAGGATAAAAGTTTACCAAGTTTAAAAATTACAGGTATCCTTATTCTTCTCTGGAATGTTAGATAAGGCAAATATAGGTTTAAACATTTTAAATCTTTGGTTACTTAAAAAAACAAATTAAAAATTTCATTTAAAACGAAACCGTTGTACAAAATACAAAATACATGGACATTATAATAAGAGTTAACAGAACATGTATATTTCTTTACAAATCAATCTCAATAGGCAGAAAAGGTGGTACCTCACATTTTATGTCGGACACTGGCTGGGACTAGAACCTTTGTCCTATCAACTGAGGTTACTAATGATAGTTGAAATTATTGTAGCTGTTGATTTTTGCTCACTACAAAAATAGGTAAATGCCAAAAACTTCTTTACTCATGGAGATGGGACAGAAAACCTCCTACCAATGTCAGACACAAAGCATAAGTACCAATAAATTAAAGAAAATATAAAATAAAATAAAAAATCTTAAATTACAGCTTCCCGTGTTGTAGGACTTTATATAAGAAGAATAGAAAGATGCTGCATAAACATGGAAGGAAGGTTGTACAAGTTTTAAGTAAATATACAAATTAGGTATATGTTCACACCAAATTAGTAGTTTATTAATATTGTTTTTACTGATGTATAGTATATGTTAGAGTTTATTTTATTTTTATTTGTTTCTTTAATGGTTTTCGATATTGATTATTGTTATTTATTCTAATTTGATATTGATCATTGTTATTTGTTTTATTTTGATATTGACTGGTTCCTAAGAAAATGAATAACATGCAGAATGACAAAAAATCTTTTTATTCCTCTTATCAAGTAAAGGCACAAATCAGTTAATTAAGGGGAATATTGACACGTTATAAGCAGGACAGATAAATTAACTTAATCATTAATCACTAATGTTCAGATGTGGAGATAATAGTACTACTTATTGTGCAACATAGAACATGCTTAAAATTATTTGGGCCTACAAAAATTAAAAGTTTCTAAACGTTAAAGTAGAAAATTGTATATAAATATGTAAATTTCTCACAATTATAAAAATAATACATCAAATAATGGAATGTCCATTATGATTTCTTAAGTACTTTTTGGAAAAAAATTGGAATTGAAAAGATTACTACAGTGTTACTATTATTTAATACAATATTAAATATTGGCTGACCACCTACAGTAACACTGACTTCCTCCAGATATATGCATTTGGTATACTAATAAAGGATGTCATAAAAATTTTACTTAAGATCTTCCAGGATAATACCAAACGAAAAGCTCTCGATATTAATTGAGATGGAAAATAATTCTTGAAAGTTTAATTATTTTTGGTCATTCTATTTTATATATACTTGTGAAGGCAAAGACAATTCAGTAAATTTTTAGTAATTTTCCTATACTTATTATTAAATACTTAATATTTCATCATCAAGAACAGAATTATAAACATGTCGATCTATGATCCACAAAGATAAAACTAAATTAATATTAATAGAATATGTAATATGAAACATGATAATCTTATATAAAATAAGCTGTATAAGTAAAACCTTTTTTAAAAAAATAAAGAAAAAGTTAATATATCAATACATTTTTTTTTTTTTTTTAAAGAATACACATAATAAACACATTTAATAAATATTGAAAACTACCATTTATGACAATAACATTCAATCACATCTGAGAAAGAAATCAAATTTCTAACGTGCTAATTTAAACTAATAAGTTTAAGGTAATTTATTTATTTATCATAATATCAAATTTATTCTATTTTATGATTTCCAATTATTGAAATGTATACAGGCCTTTATAGATAAATATAATAATGAGAAAAAGTAAACATAAACAACACACATTAATCTTTTTTGAAATCCTTAGGGCTATGAAATCACAAATTTTAAGCCTTCATCAAAGACATTACATTCTTTCATTCTTCACAGAAGTGTTTTGTTTTTTCTTACTTTTTTTTTTTAATCCACAATAAGGTGGCTTATAAAACGACTTTCAGTGAAACTATAGAATAAAAAAATCATATCAACACCACACCTAAATGGAACTTATTAAAAGATGTGGGCTCAGGACTGCTATTCAAAATAATTTGATGCATTGCTATTGATTGATGCATATATGCACACCCACTCCAATACCGTCTTATTGAAAAAGTGGCGTTTCTTCACTATTCCTTCATTTCAGTATTAGGACAAAATTTTGTTTAAGAAGTTTTTAAATATTAGTAAATTTTCGAATGGTGATACTTTATGAAATATAAACAACAGAAGAACTTAAAAGCTTAATTGAAAATATAATACAGCCTTAACTGTAACTAAAGGCTGTAACTTAATAACTAATCAATTAAGATATGGAGTAATAACTACTTCAAAAAGTTCTCTTGAAAAATTATAGATTTCATTGATTCTATAGTTTACAACAAAGCCAGTAAAAATCAGCAATACATACAACATTTAACATTGAGATATATAAAACTAACCACATCAAAATAAAATTTAAAAAATCATAATACTTCCCAGATGTGATAAACATTGATATTATTCCAATCATGATTAGCTAATCTAATATATTTAAAAATTTAATATGTTAATATAAACCCAGTCAAAAAATAAAATAATACAATAAGAGTATTATATCCAGTTATGCGATAAAGATCAAATAAAATATAACTACTCAAATTTCAAACGTAAACCTGAAAATTGGAGAAATTAGTATGGTCATCGAGGTTGATCCAGATCTAAATGAATACTGTTAGCTGTTCTCTTTCGAAGATCATCTCCTTTTTCATGATTAAGCATCACTACTGAAGCATCCCCATCAGCATCTAGAAAAGGAAAAGATATATTGCTGTCATTTCACAACATAAGAGATGGGGAATTCTCATACCGGCAAATCAGTAAGTCTGACTCTAACTTTATAAGATTTGTATTGAATTTAAATTTATGAGAAAATGCAACTACTACTAGCAATATAATCAGAGAAACAAGAATACAGAGAGCAACATTATGGAGACTAACAATGCAGAGGTTAGAGGATATTAAATATGAGCCTAGAAGAACTCCCAAATATTGTTTACTATTTACCACATTAGGTTCAAGAAATTTATTTGAAGTTCACCAACTTTAGAACAGTAACTTTTGGCTCAAAACAAAAATTCGCTACAGCAATGGTTCTTAGTCTGGGATGATAAATGTTTTCAATTTTTTTTATAAAAACTAATGCCTCATTACCTTTAAACGACTACTCTATGCTTTATCAACCTAACCTCCCTCCCTCCCATTTATCTTAGCCTCACTGCATTGCACTTAATACTACTATAAGAAACTGATTAACGCATACACATTTGCATACTGTATTGGAATGTTATTGAGATTGTTTGACAAACTTAATAATACTGATTTTTTATTAATATAATGTAAGACTTTATCATACTTTTTCAAAAAATAAAATTTAAAGACATAATTTCCTAAACAAATAGAAATACATTTTTTAATAGGGGATATCTCATATCTCTACTTGGTTGTATCACATGAAATGTCAGATAAATTTTTTTGTTGTTAAAATTAGTTTTTTTTTATAACATTAACAAAAATGATGAAAAGTAATTTTATCAATCAACTAAAATATTCTCATTGGTTCCTATATCTTTTTTCAAAAGAACAAGTATTTATAATCCATAAAAGTTCAGAGTATGAAAGGATATTCTTAAAAGGCATTTAGCACCACCTCAATCGTATTAAATAATTGTGACTCAATGTTATAGGAGTGAAACTAAATTCAATAAAATGATGTTCTCCTGTATATAATATTTTATTCTCAAGGAGAGTGAATACAAATCTATAAACAAAATTATATATCTTATTCTCTCTAGGAGAGAGAATAAAAAAAATATATAGAAGAATAACATCTATGATTGAACTTGCCAATTAACAAAATAATCCAAGATTGAGAAAACATGTAACACTTTTCTGATTGGTCAATTGCATGCAGAAGAACTTCAAATAAAATTTTAAGTCTATTTTGTGATGTGCTGTAATTGCTCATGTATGAGAGTTGTCTTATGCATAACTTCAAAATTAAAATTCTGGTCTAATTATTAATTTAATAATTTATAAAGCATTATTATATTAAATCATGTTTTTTGACCTGGATCTCTAAAACTTGACATTTCATGTGATATGAGAAGAGTGATTGTTATTTCATTTATTATTCCAGTGACCACCATTTTCCACCATTGGATTAGTTTCGCTACTAAAGAAAGATCAGGCTCTTCAATAATCATAATAATGACATATGTTTCAACAAATATTGTAATAATGCACGGCTCCTGACTACTATTAATAAAACAGGATCACTATCTCAATTAAATGGTGGGATAAGAATAATTTAACACATTATACAATTTAATTTAATTCCATAAAGATTTCCTCTAATCACCAATTTATAATTAATAAATCAATATTGAATTCACTTATATTTTACTGATTTCACCCTCAGTATTGACATTTAATGTGATACACGTGAACAGATTCAAGAGGATTGCATTAATATAAAAAGGTCAAGAACCATTGCTCTACAGAAATTGAATAGAAAAAAAATCTATTGAAAAAAAAATCAAACATATTAATTAAACTATTATCATACATATTAATGAGATCCTATTTTCATATTAACACTATATATTTCAGTTTTTAGATTTATTTTAATAATATATATCATATAAATAAATTTAAAAACTGAAATATACTTCAGGAGTGGATGAATGCCTGTCTTTAAGTCAGAACAAACTTCATAGTTAAATCTGACTCTCGTTTTATCATTAATATTAATGAGAGCATATTTTCATAATATTACACCTCTACTATCTATTTTAGTTTTTAAATTTATTTGTATGATATATACAGGGTGTCCTGTAAGTAAAGGAAAATATTTAAAGAGGAGATAGTAGACATCAAGAGCTACATAAAAGTTCTTATTAACGATGGTGTGATATTCCACCAAAAAGTAGAAATTCGAGCTGTGTTTTTCAATGTGTCACGTTTTTTGTCGAATAGTAATCAATAATTAAAGAAATACTTGATGTAAGTAATTAACAAATGCTTCACAATAAACTAGACAAAATTTATATTAAATAATTAAGGATTTGTATTTGCTGGATTAGGGGTATTTTTAAAATAAAATATAAAATTCCTTGTAAATGTTGTTTATTCAGAAAAGAAGCGCTACAATATAGAAGTAGGCTTTTCTTTCTAGAATTTCCAAATGTTTCAATATTGCATCCAAATGCATTTACAAGGAATGTTATATTTTATTTTAGAAATTTACGTATAATTTATGAATTTTTATACAAACAGAACTGAGCTTAGTTCAGCAGCCTAAAAGTCCTCTTTAAATAGTTTTATCGACTATAAAATTTAATTTCATTTAAAGTAAATTTTGTCTGGCTTACTATGAAGCAATTGTTAATAAAATAAATTAAGTATTTTTTTTAGTTATCTCTTTCTATTCAACAAAAAATTGACACATAAAAAAACAACAACACAAAACTTGAATTTCCAACTTTTTGGTGGAAAATTAGACCATCATTAAATATGAACTTTTTTGTAGCTCTCAAGGTCCACTAGCTCCTCTTTAAATATTTTTCTTTAACTACAGGACACTCTATATGTATCATACAAATAAATTTAAAAACCGAGATATATATCAGGAGGAAGTGAATGCCTGTCTTTAAATCAAAACAAACTTCATATCTAAAATCTGATTCTGGTTTTAAATTGAGAGCATTATATAATACTAAGAAGGAAAATAGGCTGATACCGAAAGGTAATATCACATGGTCTTACATAAAAAAAAAAGTTTACTTAAAACGAAATATCACCTGAAAACATTAGGTAAGCAATCTAATCTGCCCAGTGATTACCTGTCCAAAAGCACTAGGACTCAAATTATCTTCTTATTTTTGTTCTATGGGTAATTGTAAAATATTATGTAAGTCATGTTAAAAAATAATTTTATTTAGGACTTGGATTATTTTATATACATTTACAAAGAGTTTCATATTGAGGTGCTGTCAAAAATGTCTTTTAGGAATTATTTTTGCGAAAAGAATGTAGATTGCCATTTAATGATGAGAAAAATAAATGGAAACCAATGGAATATATTTTTCATAATTTATAAATTCATTTCAGAGGTTGGATATTTTTTATACAGCAAAAAAAACTTAAAATATCCAATACGAGTAACTTAGGTACAATAATTAAATCAATAAATTATATATTTTTTCTATACTATAGCAAATATCTACACAAAAATTATACAGTTATTTCCAACCTGATGTTAACCATGTGATACAACCATTTACATGTAAGCTGCTACCAGCTATATTAATGATATAAATTGAAAAAAGAGAAGTGATGAAGTTGCATTTTTCCTTACATTTTTTTATAATTATTAATTCATTTATGAAGAAGTGACATAACAATAGTTTATGATAGTTAATTCGCTATAAACAACAGTTTGTCTGAAACTATATATAGATCATAAAATAATAATGAAAAGTAATCAAAAGGTTTACAATGATCGCCAAAATTACATATCACAAATTAAGAATGTAAAGAGGCACAACTCAAAAAATATTTTATTTTAAACTAATTAAATAAGCATTCAATATGGGTCTACATAAAAGCCACGAAATGATTTTCCAATATCATAACAGGTTGTGGCTAGAACACCTTATCTGGTCCCTGAAATTACTAAACAAGCTATTTGTGATAACAATTTTGAACTGTGCCACTTTCATCATACAAGATTGATGAACATATCAAGTTTTTGTACAAAAGTAAAATAGACAATTACAGATGCTATAACTTACAAGGATGTTTAGTCTGCTGTGTTTCATATTCTATGATTAATTCATTTGTTAGATATGCTTCTCTCTGTATTTGGTCCCTCAACTCTGACGGTACGTCAGGAATACACCATTGAACAGCAATCACGACAATGGAAACCACATTCTAGAAAAGATAGATTGTAATGACACTCCAAGTTTCTTAGAGAAATATAATGTATTTTGTGTTGGTTCCTTATGCTACATAAAACCAGATCAAATAGGTACTAAAAATCACTCTTTATTATGTTTTAAATTGAATTTTTCACTTTTTCTATCAATATTTAATATTTTAAAAATCTCAAGATATATTTCTAATAAATAACATAGCTTGTACAAAATATTTGGAACTTTTGTTATCATTTTAGACCTAAGAGATCTTCCTAGAGAGGTGGAATCACATATAGTCTAATCACTATAAAGAAAAAAAATTAAAAAGGAATTTTTAAAATATACCTGGAAAATGACGATAAATGCCAATCTTGCAGCTAATATATGCCAATAGAGGGCAGTACGCTTGTATTCGCCAGGACCGGGTGGAGCTCTATAACCAGCATACCTGAAAAAAAAAATATATATATAGCTACTAGTAAATATTTCAGTAAGTGAGAATAATTTTGTAGATTGATTTATTTATTATATATTCAAAAAGTAAGTTTACTCATGAGGTGTTTTTGAACATTTTTCCAGGACATCAAGTAACATATTTTTTAAAATATAAAGAACTATACCGGCCCCTTTAATAAATCTGAGAAGTGCATCTTTAGATAAGAATAGGAACCTTTGGGACAAAATTTATTTGCTAATGTTAAAATATCATCAAGTGAAACTCAAAATTTTCCAAACCATATGTAACTCTTTTGATAAAACAAAAGTTTAACACATCAGACAGAAAGGATGAAAGATTGTAGCAAATCATTGTCAGAATCCACAGTTAGACCCTTACACTGGATTGAAGGAGAATAAAGGAAACACTGCATAACATGGAAAACCAAACTTTTTCAGGTCCTCTCTTTACCTAAAACTAATATCTAATGGCTAGTATACAGTTATCTGGAAATTGTTGATTTAAGATAATAATAAAATTTAAAACTTTATGCAAAGAACAAATCTCAGTTGCAATCTATGCTAAATATTGTAACCCAATTTAGTGACTCAATACACGTCACTCGGTATTGAAAAATGTGCTGCTCTTCATGTGATTAAAGGGAAGCCAAATAACTCCGAGAACATATTTAATGAAGCATTGCATATTAAACACCTAAAAAAGAAAGACCTATATAAATATCTTTGGATAGAGCAGCATATTAAAATAGCGAGCAAAAAGGCCAAAAACAGACTGATAGAGTCGTTGAAAAAGAGGTTAAAAATTATTCTTACAACATACCTATCCTCAGGTTCAAAAATAAAAGCTGTAAATATGTGAGTTACACCAGCCATATCTTACAGTTTCGGTTATTATGAAGACAGCTGAGATAATAGATATCACTGTACCAAATGATGGGAACACCAACTCAGTCTGCAACGAAAAAATTCGGGTATATCAAACTCTTGCAGCCGAGTTAAAAGATTTGTACAGGCTGAACAAAGTGACAGTGCTTCTATGATCTCTAGCAATGGGCTGATTCCAAAGTCCACTGTAGAAGCTACCGAGAAGTTGGGCCTCTCAACAGCCACAATAAATGAAGCCCAGAAAGCTGCTGCTGAACACTGCGAGAATCGTAAGGAGCTTCGTAAATATCTAATATAACTACAAAAATTGACGTCAAATGGTTAAAGTTAATTCTTTCCCACTCCAGGAAAATACTTTTTTTTAAAGTGATAAAAAATAAAGAATAATAATAAACACGCAAGGGCAACTGATGAATGTAGTTGTTGGGGTTTTACGCTCCCCCGGGCTCCTGAGAACATCCCACCATTAAGAAACACATACATCACAGCACACCATATCACATACACAATACCACTGACACCAGGGTCATTTCCAGTACACACCCTAGTGCAACCTTACCTATGAAGGCCTGGCAGAAGGTTTAAAATGTGAATACCCACCAAAAATAGAATTAAGAAATCGACGTACAGCTTCGGACAAGCCTGGGAATGAAGCTGCATTTTCGACAGCTTCCTTCAGGTAGTGGCGGAGCAAGTGGCACCATCCTGTCGCCACTTTCCAGTATGAACCCAGCAACAGAGACCAAGAGGTGCTCAAAGGATGAAATGGATGCCAGAAATAAACAAGGCTGTCATCCAGGCATATCTTTTGGTAACAAAATTAGAAACAGATAAGACGGGATACCTAGGAAGGATTCAACAGTATTGGCAAGAACTATATCCACAGATGGCTATGAGTTCACAAAGGCTAAGTGATCAAGTTAGAGTGATCCGTTCAAGAAAATTCCTATCTGAATTGGAAACAGAAAATATCAAAAGAATGATATCTGAACGATTAGGAATGGTACAAATTGAAAATGAAGAGCAGCCAACAGAACCTCATTTAAAAAGATCGATGACAATAGAGGCAGCTCCTCCAGAAAAAGGAGACAAAGACATTGACAAACTAATAGAATCATTATTATCCCAGCATGAGATTTAAGAGGGGATTCCACTTGAAGTTAGACCGACAGTCGAAGATGTTTGTCATTGGGCCTATGTTGCAGCTAGGGTCATTATTATTGAACATGGATTGGAAAAAAAAAAAAAATAAATAAATAAAAACGATACCACACTGGCAGAGAAGATTGGAAAATAAAATAGCTTCGCTCAGGGCAAATATTGGAGTAATAACGAATGATGTCAGGAATCCGGTTGGAGCAAGTACAAAAGTAAAATGAAAAGTTGACGAAATAGTTATACTACAAATAGGGATGGTGTTAGAATTTGAGCTTGGCGAAAAACTGGCTTTACGTGCTGATATACTGAAGCAAAAACTTGCATTTTATACAAACAGAATACAAAGGTAAAAAAAGTCGTTACTTTGAAAACAGCAGAACAAAATGTTCAAAAACAGTGTACAACAGTTTCATCTGCTTAGGTAAATGATAAGAAGGGAGGTGCAAATTGTTCATTAACTGACAATATTATAGAGTATTGGAAAGAGCTTTGGGAGCACAATGTAGAGTATAATGATGAAAACAAATGGTTAAAATTAGTAAATACTGAACTTCAGGAAAAACCTCCAATGCCAGAATTCGACATCTCGAAAGAAGATGTAGTCGTCGCTACAAAGGAAATGAAAAACTGGAAAGCGCCTGGTAGTGATAGAATTCAGAATTACTGGTTAAAAAATCTATCATGCCTGCATGAAACACTTGCAATGAATAATAAAAAAATGTTAACAGGGCAGATAGACATTTCCAAAACTTTTTGTGAGGGCGTTACTGTGCTGATTCCCAAAAAAGAAGATCGATTGGAATCCCAAGACTTTCGGTCAATTACTTGCCTCAACGGTGTGTATAAGATTTTAACATCCATTCTCACAAGTAAAATTGAATTTCACCTGTAAACCAATAATTTGATTCCACTCGAGCAACTTGGCTGTAGAAAAGGAGCCCAAGGGTGTAAAGAACTTTGGTCATCAATTCGTTCATTGCAGGACAAACGACCATGAATAAAATAAATTTGTCAATAGGCTGGGTTGATTATAAAAAAGCATTTGACTCAGTTCCTCATAGTTAGCTTTTAGAAGTTCTGGATTTATATAAAATTCATCCATATATTACAGAACTTCTGGAAAATTGATGAATAACTGGAAAACAAGACTGAGAATGGGAGATAAGCAATCACCTAAATACATTACCATTTCAAGAGGTATATACCAGGGGGAATGCCTCAGCCCTCTTTGGTTTTGTCTTGCGATGGCTCCGTTGTTAATTTTAGTAAATCATGAGGAAAGCGGATACAAAGTAAAAGTTAATGAATTAATAAGTGCAATGATCAGCCATAGCTTTTATATGGACGATTTAAAACTCTATGCAAAGAATAAATCCCAGCTACAGTCTATGTTAAAGACAGTTACCCACTTTAGTGACTCTATACAGATGTCACTTGGGATTGAGAAATGCACAGTTCTTCACGTTATAAAACGAAAACCAAATAATTCTGAAAACTTATTTAATGAAGAATATCATATAAAGAATCTACAGAAAGAAGATATGTATAAATATCTAGAGATAGAACAGCATTTAAAAATAGCTAGATGTAGGATGTAAAATATAAATTGACAGCTTCATTTAAAAAAAGACTAAAGATTATCCTCAGAACATATCTTTCTTCAGGATTAATGATAAAAGCTATAAATACGTGGGTTATTTCTTCCTTATCTTAAAGGTTTTGAGTTCTAAAATGGTCCACAATGTCACTCCAGGAATTGGATAGGCTAATAAGAACAAGTATGATGGGTTCCAGAATGGACCACCCGACTGCATATATGGCAAGGCTATACCTGCCAAGAAAGGAAGGAGGGAGAAGACTCACAAATATTGAAGAGTCTTGTCGAAGTCAAGAACAGTACCGAATCTGCAATCTCCATTGCGGACATACTGCTCTACAATTAGGCTTCCAAGAAGCTTTTATTTTTATTACCGACAATGACCGACTGGAAGAGTAGAAGTCAAAAGCATAACATGGTAGGTTTTTTAATCAGGTTCAGCAGACTAAAAGTTTTTTAACTGCAATCCAGGACCAGGTTACAGCTACAAGATGGTGACACGTCTTGAAGCAACAGAATGTATCGGACAAATGTAGGCTCTGTGCAAGCACATATAAATCCATTTAACACATAACTGGAGGCTGCGGAGCTCTTACAGGTACAGAATACCTAAAAAGACATGAAGACGTCGCCAAAGTCTATCACCAGGCGATTGGTCTAAGAATTAAGTTATCAAACAATTCCGTGCCCTACTATAAATGCAGCCCACAAGGTCTCTGCCAGAAAGATGGTATAAAATTATATTGGAATCAATCGTTTATAACTATAACAGACCATCTCGTGACTCACAACAGACCTGATATTGTGTTAATTGACAGAAATATTAAGGTAGCTGAGATTATAGATATCACTGTGCCAAACGACGGAAACATAAACTCAGTCTGTGCAGAAAAAAATCGGAAGCATCAAGGTCTAACAGCTGGGTTAAAAAGTTTGTATAAACTTAATAATGTAACCGTTAGAGGCATTGTGATCTCCAGCAATGGCCTGATACCAGTGTCTACTGTGGAAGCTACTAACAGGCTGGGTCTCCCAACTCGTGTAATAAAGGAAGCTCAGAAAGCTGTGCTGTTGAATACTGCCAGAATGTAAGAAGCTTTCTCAACATTCAATAGAAATTAAAATAGAACACACCTAAGGTGGTTGGAGTTGATTCTCCCCCTCTCAAGTAAACAAAAAACCTTTTGTAAAAGTGTTGACAAATAAAATAATAATAATAATACTTTATTTATTCTGGGACGAGTCCCTTTAGAATAATACAGAAAGACAGAAATGTGGGCTAAGGAGCCTCAGAAATACATAAACAAAAATACAGAGTAATTAATTAGTCATAATATAAAAATTATAAGTTACTTTATAATTTTAATCAGTTAATAATAAAAATAAAAAATAGAAAAAAAACATGAAGTAAAAATAATGAAGAACGGTCTAATAATTTATATACATATTTACAGTAGTTTCTATTTACAATTTTATATGGACTGGATGGATAAGAAATAATCATTTCAATCGAACAGGCGGGATTTAAAGGAAGGAAGGATATTGGATTGAAAGATGTGGGAAGGGATGGAGTTCCATAGGGATGAGGATCAGATAATGAACGACCTGTCTAAAGCAGCAGTTCAGTGGACTCTTATGTATAAATCAGAAGAGCGGGAACGAGCATTGCGAGAACGAACAGAGGATTTGAATTGAAGGAGCTCGGAGATGTATGAAGGACGGTGGGATTGGATGACTTGAAAGAGGAAGGATGCCAGAAAATACTTACGACAGTAGGAAGGATAAAGCCACTTGAATTCTGCATAAAAACGGGAAACAGATGTGTCCCTTGGGATCCCAAAGATGAATCGTACAAAGCAATTTATCAAACGTTTTAGTTTCGCCTCAAGATCCCCAGAGACGTCCCCATATACTTTACAGCAATAGTCAAAGTGAGGAAAAATTAAGGAAATGACCAGGAGCCTACGGATTTCAAGAGGAAATAGGTGAAAGGAGTGATTTAGACGTTTTAAGGTGGAAATGGTATGGCGGGTAATATTTGATATGTGGTTTTTCCAGGAAAGCATTTGATCAAAGGTTATTCCAAGGTTTTTGATGGAGAGATAAAATTTGAAGGGATTAATTATCATGTAGGAACAGAATTGGAATATTAGGAACAGTTTTAAGGAGGTGATTGGAGCCTATTAAGATTGCCTTCTTTCTTCCCTCATTCAACATGAACTTGTTAGTTCTCGCCCAATTACAAATCCTATCTAAGTGTTCTTGAAGGTTTTCTGTGGCTGATGATAGGTCGGATGGCGGGAAAAACAGGTATATTTGGAAATCATCTGCATAGATATGGTATTGAGATGGATTAGGAGGGAAAGGTCATTAATGTAAATAGCAGAGTAGGAGATAGAGAGGAACCTTGAGGGACAACAAAGGAGAGAGGGAGGGGTCTTAGATGGAGGTTGACCTGGGATGACTACATACTGGGACCAATTTGAAAGGAAGGATTTGAACGAACGGAGGGCACTGTTGGATAGAGGAAGATTGTGCTATTTAGTAAGGAGGATGTTATGGTCAATGGACAAAAAGTTTGGTGTTCAATGGAACTTTGGGGGTCATAGGTTATTTTAAGGAGAGCGGATTGTGTTGAGTATCCAGGTCGAAAACCAGATTGGAATGGGTTGATAAGGGAACGTTTCTCTAGGAAGTTGGAGAGTGGATTTTGGACATTGGGTTCTAACGGCTTTGAAAGATAGGGATAAGATTTTAGATATCTCAAAAACTATAACTATGACAGTTATCAACAAATGAAAAAGTATCTTGAAAGAAATGTCCTCAGCTTTAATTTTAGACACATTTTTAAGTGTGATGCACCGTTTTTAAGAAATAAGTAAATAACTAAAACAAAGGATCGTCCCAATGCCACCCCACCATGAAGAGACTGGGTTGGGGTATTCCTAAAGCCAAATGCTTCTTTCATCTCCATACACTATAGAAGCTCCTTTTGGTCATTTATTGACTGCACTAAATATATTCTTAGAATATTATTTCATGATTGAATCAAAATGATTTTCATCACAAAATTAAACAAAATATTTGAATTTATTTATTCCATAACTCAGTTAAGGTAGATGTACCAGTAATAGACAGTTTTTAATTCATTAACAAATAATAAGCTTTATATATCAAATATAGAGTGCAAATATGAGTAGATTTTCTGTTAAAATCCTTAGGAAGGTCATGCCTAAACCTCGTACCAGAATAGCCGATTGGCAGTTTATTTTTTAATAAAATTATGATGGGCTTTATTTCAAGGAGCTTTCCTTATTACTTTTGTTTATGAGATAAGTTTAAAATTTGTATTCATTCATAAACATTAAAACATTAAATAAATATCTGGTGAAAATGGACTTAACTTAAAGAATTTCAATATTTACAAAGATTTTTCACTTTAAACTTAAAATACATAAAATTATTATATAAGACTCCTTATATAATAATTTCCTTATTACCTGCAAATAGTGGTATTAAATGATGAATAGAGTGGTGCTGATCCTGGCTCAAAATCCTTTGTATCAAAAACTGATAAAGAATGGTTGAGAAACCCTACATGGTCGCTGGATTTCGTCACATACATAAATACCATTTTAGGTATGAAATTTGATGAAAATGCAATGATGAAAGCCTGTAACCAGAAAAATTACAGCATTTTACTTTCACTTAGCTATATAAGATATACATAGTAAGGGAGAGTTTTGCAATCAGGAAAATTTTTTAATCTGAGTTTACAATGGAAATATACGTTTTGAAGTACCCTGAGTCCAAATAATTAAGTCCCACAAAATGGTCTGTGTGTGTGTGTAAGTGAACAGTCTAGCTCAAAAACGAAAAGTCTTACAAAAATTAAATTGTGTATTTAAGTTAAGTACAGGCCTTCGATGTTACAGTAACTTTTTCCTAAAAATCGGCTATCTGGAAGTGGCACTTTATATCAATTATGGTTTCATTAACACCGAACAGCCAAAAATTTGAATTTTTTCAATCAGTTTTTATTCCATCCATTTTACAAGTGAAAACATAACTATTATGTACATATTGATTATCAACATGTACTTAGTAGATAAGTTTTGGTAATAGGTATGTATCTACATATTGCAATGGGAATTATTTTTTTGGTTTATTATTTTCAATAATGAACCATTGTGATCGACCAAAAAATTCAAAAACTTAACCCCCTCTCAAAATTTGAGGTTTTACGTTTTGAAATTTGACAGGAGACGTAGAATTCGAAAAACGAATAAAAAGTTTTTTGTCTGTTCGCAGTCCGCACATTTTCTCATTTGTCCGTCCGTCCGCGCATTTTCTCTGAAACTGCAGGACTGATTTTTTTCAAATTTGGATATAAAATCAGAGGTCACCCGAGGATGATCCTCCTTCATCCACATTACTATCCGCCTTTTACTTTCAAAATGGCGGCCGAAAAACCTGCATTGCTATAGACTGTTGTGCCTAAACGAATGTACCGATTTCAACGAAACTGCGCTAAAGTCATTTTCATGACGCCCTTTAAATTTATCTATATAACATACTTCAACGAAAAGGAACTGGAAAAAAAGTTACGAGGGATGGTAAAATTAATTCCGTAAAATTAACTTTTTTTGTACCATAACCGTATACACTTTTTTGTTGATATTTTGATAAGATGTTTCAAAGATATTTAAATTTCCTAAAAAATGAAGGAAGTTTCATCAAAATCAAAGTACTATTAGTAGAGATTTTAAATTTTTTTTGGTTTATTTTTTTTAATAATGAACCTTTGTGATCGACCAAAAAATTCAAAAACTAAACCCTCTCTCAAAATTTGAGGTTTAACGTTTCAGGTTACGTAGAATTCGAAAAACGAATACAATTTTTTTTGTCCGTCCGTCCGCGCATTTTCTCTGAAACTACAAGACCGATTTTTTTCAAATTTGGATATAAAATCAGAGGTCACCCGAGGATGATCCTCCTTCATCATGTTTTTTAAAAAGTGTATGGAATTTCCTAAAAAACAAAACAAAATTAGTTAAAATCGGACAATTAGGAGCCAAGATATGGTCTCTAGTTTTTTTTTTTTTTATATATGTTCTACTGCAAAGGTTATATCCTTTGTTTTGGTTTTTGAAATTTGTATGTGTTACAGAAGTAATGCTAATTTTTTTAGCATATTACTAATGATTAAAAAAAAAAGAAGTTTAGTCCAATAATTTGAATCACCTTTTATCTATTTTTCTTTGTAACTAGAAAGGTAATGTTACTTTAGATGTATAATTGTTTGGAAATAATAAACCATTATGAAATGATTTGCAGCGTTGTTTTTTTTTTTGTAGTCACAAATAGTCAAATATGCAAGTCACAAAGGTGGATTTCTTCGGCCTTCTGATATTTGCTGATGATCAAAACTAGTGTATATCAGACTAGTGAATGTTGAGGTGATAATGTACTTCAAAAACGGATTCTCCAAAAGATTTTATTATAAAACAAAAAATTATGGACCTTGAAATATAGGTAATTGTATAATCAATGAAAATGGGGAGGAAGCAATACTGACCTAATTGGCAAATATTTAAATTTAACTAGCCTCCATGTGAAATTGCGCAAAAAACATGGATACAACATAAAAAATATATCGACAGCCACATTGCAAAGTGTATAAGGACAATTTATATGGAAAATAAGGTTTTGAGCTTTTCTGGTCCACCTTGTCCTGGCGCATATTCTGATCCCACAAAATGAAATCTGCTATGTTTCATTTCTTCTCTATGGCCTTTTGTAAATACCTGTAATTTAAAAGCCAGCATATTGTGATGTAAAAACTGTATGTTACAGTGAAGGTTATAAAGATTTTATCGTTATTGAAAAAACGTAATGAATGCTCAATGAAATGTGGTCATATAAATACAGAATGTATAAAGCATTTTGAGCGTAGACTACAGTATCAATTAGCTATATTAATAGGCTAAAATTACACACAAGAACATTTTGTATTCATTTTTTAAATATCTAATAAGCGTCGGGCACTTCCAGCTAGATGCCTCTGGGCAAATGCCCAGCTTTCCCTGCTCTTGAGGCCGAAACTGCTTACCATGGAATTAGGCAAAGCAGAGAAGAGAGTGGTAAGTGGGAATATAATATAATATTAAATGGCCTTCAAAACAATCAAAATCTCGTTGCAACTGCAAAATGAGCTTGACTGGAAAAAAGCTACAATGCCTCCAAATTCCAGATAGTGAGAGACAGAGAATTGATTTCATTAATTGGACAATTTAACACAAGACAAAAAAAGAACTCTAGTTTCTTTTTTTCAAACCAATGAATCTTCGAAATCGCAAAAAACTCAGAAACGAAATGATTAGCAGGTTACCTAGAACTTACCAAGCATTTGTGAATCAAACTATATCCATATAAAGGTGAGTATATTAAAAACGAATTTTCCATAGGACTACTCCAAAATGGGGCGCACGCACTTCTTCGTTTGAGCCATCCCTACCGTGGTAGAAAATTGAAGTACCGTTAGATATGGATGTGTACTACAATACATTTGATTGCTTTTAGCTAACTAATACCTGTTTTTCAAAGTGACTAAAAAGCTATAAATTATAATTAATGGCTCTAAAAGATTATTGGGCAGAAATATGATTAAAAAAAGTTACTTAGAGCATTACATCATTGTCTTAAGCCCCTTTCACACTGAAGATGCAAATGCGTCTTGCAGCCTGGATGCAAGACACACTTGCATCATAGGAACCAGCCTGCTGGGGATTTTTAGCATGCATCTTCGTTGTGCTGGTCTTGCATACTCGCCCCTTCCACCTTGGCCCACTCAAAGCAAAATATTTTTGAGGAGCAATCATCGGGTCTGGATGGCTTACACCTCCAACACTTTATCTAATTTCCACTTTATCTAATCCAACAATTTATCTATTGTTTAATTATTTTTGAACTATAGATTTTTTTTTTATCAATTGCTCTATATGCTTTTACCTATTTTTCTTGTAACTACCACGAGAGATTAAAAATTATATGCCAAAATTGCAATAAATCGTTAGTAATCATTTTCTTAATTATTAGAAATGATGATTGAATGTCATGGAATGGTGTGACCTACAGTTTCTTTTCTGTCCTGATGATGCCTGAATTGGCTTGTTATATGGCTTAACAGCTTATTTTATTCTTTATCTATATTTTAAAGAAACAAAGCTGTGAGTTTGGAGTTTTCCAATTATAAGGTAACATTTATTCTCCCGCCATCTCCACAAGATGTATGGATACTTTTAATAAACAATGCTGCACAAAATATTTTTAAGTAATGTTTTCAGTGTTGAGCTACATTCACATGTTTAAAAAATGAGTTATACTATTCATGGGAAAATATAGTTATTTACCGCAGAAATATCAGTAGTCTTTCTTTCGCAGATACACATAACCGACAATTTGTATCCCGACGACTCAGTGACGGTTTCATGAGATCTAACCATTTGTTAAAAGTAGAAATCTCCATTTTATAATATGCCTGAAACATTACAGGATGGTTCAGTAATTGCTGAGACACCATAGCAGGGCTATGCTCTCCAGCATTATTCCAGTATGGATGCTGCAATAAATGATTTCTTCTTTCTCTTCGGCTTCTTCTTACTACACAAGCCAGAATTATAATTTTGTCGCCTGAAGAGTCGGACGATTGATTATTCACCTTTCAAACTCATGTACTAAACTAACAGAGATAATGGATATAAACAGAAGATGCAAGACGCACAAGCATCCTGCATCCAGGACATAATGCAATAATGCATAGTACAATAATGCATCTTACGTCTTGCATCTTCAGTGTGAAAGAGGCCCTTGGGCCTACAAAAAAAATTGAGCTGAAAATATAATACTCATGGAACAAAAATTAAGCAGTTTTTTTTCATCTGCTGAAAATTTTTAGTTTTTGTTCCAACAGGTTTTTACAGTATGGTTGTCGATATACTATATTTTATTATTTGATTTTAATTTTGTAGATAATTCAATTATCTTTCAAATGAGCACTTGTGATGTTCAAGGAGACCTATAATTATAAAAAATATTCGAAAAACTAAGATTTTTTTTGGTTTAAGAAATAATTTTTTTTAACTACTAAGAGTACGTTTTTAAATTTAGCCAAATTGCATATCTACAGCACAAGGAGATCTACCAAATAACATTATAACTTCATAGGCATTGTCACTTTGATTACGAAGTCAATCTGTGTTTGTCTATATTGATTAGTATGTTTCTTTTATAGATTTAAATTAGACGTTATGGTAAAAATTAATAATATTTTAATTTATATTCACTGTTTTCATAGTAAAGATACTGAACTTGAGATATCATGAGTTTAGTAATTATTAATTTATGTTCAGTAATTATATTCTGAGTTATTATTTATTTCTAGTTTAAATTTTCCTCTATCTATAATTGCATCAACTATCTAGCCTACTGCAGTACCTGGACCAGCATTGATTTCTTTGGATAATTGACACTCTATTGTAGGTGGTTTCCACTGGAAAAATGGTACACACACATTACATGATACAATTAGTACGCTGATGCAGTTAAAGGTAGACATTCAAGTTGGATGGTCAGATTTTTTAAGTAGATTGCATATTTTGATGATACTAATAGATTAAATATTAAATAAAATAATTGAGGTTAGATAACTTCTCAATAATTATAATTTGATAGACAATTATTAAACGTTTAAACTATTAAATAACAAGTTAGTGAAAATATATTATAACTTTCAGTTGTGCTATTAGTCCATAAGGGAGACAATAGCAAAATTATTTTAGTTTTCTATACAGGAAAATAAATTGAATTCTTACGTTTGAGATGACAGCTAACCGACCAAGGACATTTAAAATCCTAAACCAAACTCCAATATTAGGTGCTCTTTTTGGAACTGGCCTTCGGTAATACAGGAGGAATTTGCGAGCATCCAACCTCATTTCAAATATATTGTTTATAAGTGCGAAAAATGGTGCCAGTGGAAAAGCAGTAACAAAAATGGTGACAAAACCATATTGCAAAACTGAAATGAAAAATATAATTCTGAAAATCAATATTGAAGTCAAAAACTATAAACTAAGATTTATTAATAAAGAATATTAATTTCAAAACTTACCCATTTCTAAATATTCATAGAACAAACCACGAGGACCCCAATCAAGAAGTTTAAAGTCTTCAGTCCACCTTTTGTGCGATGGGTCATTAACAACAGCATCTACTTCAGAATTACTAGGTTTTTCTAAACCAGCTTTGATGCTTAAACTGTTAATCCATTTCCAAATATACCTATTTGTATAAAATAAGGCAAATTATAAAAAAAGACAAGTATTAAGGATCGGTAAGGTTACAATACTGTATGAATATGAATAATAAAAAAAACCAATGTCATTTTCATTATTAAAAATAAGTAATAATAATAATAATTCCAGTTCATTGATAAGAAAATACTGTTTGTTGATCAACAGTTGTGCAAGGAAGTGACTTGACCGAGATCACGCTCAACCACCAAGTTTTTCTGCTTGATTAATTAAGAGTACCAACTTTATAGAGAATAAGTGTACCCCAGAAGGGTCCTCACCTCATGTTTGATACATAGCTGGGGTAACAGAATGGATAATCACATGCTAGAGTCGGTCTCAAACACAGGCTGAGAAAATAGGAACATAGTGCCTCACCTTACTCGCGAAACTGGCTGACCTTACTCTCTCTAACCTACCAATGGTGTAAATATGAAACTGAATTTCTGTATAGAAATTACAGATTTACTACATAAAAATGTTCAAAAATATTTTATTCAAAATATTGCTCACTGCGCTAACAAGCAATTTATGAATGCCACACCAGAAAAACTTTGTTGCTCTTATGAGGTAAACCAGTCCTCAAGACATTTTTGAACACCATTATTATAAAAAGAGAAGCACTACGTAGTAATTGCATGCCTTATCAATGAAAGTAAATAGTAGACGGATGGAGCCAAGTCTGGTGAGCAAGATGCATGTGCTAATATTTTCCAATTTAACACCTCAAATGTTTTCTTCACTGGTTTTGCTGAGTGTGATAGAGCATTATCATGAAGAAAAATCAGTCTGTGTTGTATTTTTTGTTATTCTGGTTGGTTTTTACGCAATACTCTATTGAAATTGATCATTTGTAATTTTTAACGTTCGCGTTCAGTATTATCAGTTTCAACAGATTTTGGCAGCTCATAATATAGATCACACCCTTCTGATCCCACAAAAACACAGAGAATTGTCTTCTTTTCATAGTAACTTGATTTTGCAATAAATGTTGATGGTTCATCTGCAGCTACTTAGGATTCTTAAAATATACTCAATTTTTATCACCTGTCACACTTTGATGGAGAAATGACTTTCTGTTGCACCTGGTGAGCAGCGTTTCGAAGGGGATTCTTTGGTTTCTTGCTACCTTTCATTCAGTTCATGTGGAACCTAATTTCTCATCTTCTGTATTTTCTCATAAATTTTCAAACATATGAAGACAGATTCTTGAGTTACATTCGATATCAGATCATACATTCAATTTCAATGGTCTTCATGTCATGTCAAAATTTCCAATTTTTTAAACTACTCAAAGCACAAGTGATTTACCCAGATATGCTCACTATAAGCTTCAACAAGCATTCGATGCAATTCTGCAGCAGTTTTTTTTTTTTTAAATCGTAATAGAAAACTCGATATGTTCAATACTATTTAAACAATGATGTTATATGAAACCAGTTTGTTGAGAGTTAAAAATCTTTGCCATCTGTCCAAGAAAAAAAAATGTGCCAATGATAAAGTTTAACTAACAGTTAAAACATCAACAATTAGAACCATGCACCTATGAATACCCATTTCATATTTATACACCTGCGAAATATAAATATAAAAAATTATAAATATATATATACTTAATATTAATTTTTAAAAAGTCTACTTACGGAATAAGCATTTCCAAAACACCATTTAAAAACTGCTGGCCAATCATGATGATAGCCAATTGAATACACAGCTCCATCAGACAGCCGCCAGGATTACACTAATGGACAAATGTTTATTTAGAAAATAATATAAATGTTTCCCATTTATATAGCCAATTAGAGTTATAGATACTTCCCGTTATAGAGTTATAGATACTCCGGACCATCTCCTTCCTTTATAGATACTTCATATTTATAAATTTTAATTATTAAAATTAGAAGGAAAAATGTTACAAAAGGTACTAGAACAATTTTTTTCAAAAAATAAGAAAACTTTTATTATTTTTCATGAGCATAACTACTATACCTAAATATCGATATTATGAGTAAATATATTTATTAAAACTCTAGTGCGCGCAACAAATAACTTTCAATTACCGCTCAATTTTGAATAGAAATTTTTTTCTGGCCATGTCGGACCATTATAAAATTTTTGAATTTTATTTTTAACTGAGCTAAAGCTAAAAAATTACAGCTAACAAATCATAAATACCATTAAAATAACAAATTCATATTTATTATATCACCAGTTGATTATGGATTGTACGATCCGTTGATTAGGGATTGTACGACTATTAGTTATTAACTGTTATTTTTCATTGCAAAGTTTACTAAAACGGAATTAAGAGATTTGCATAATCTTTATGCAAATTTTTTATGCAAATTGACATAGACAGGTCAAAAGTTGTCAAACTAATTGTAAGTGGATACTGTTGGAATATCAAAAAAAGAATTTTCATCAAACTATTGACTAATTTAATATTCTAAAAGTTTAATTGATGATTTTTTGTAATAAACGGACGATAGATACCTAAATATTTAAATATATCAGATCTAGAGTTATTAAACTACAGTAAATATATTTAAGGTTATAAATGTGTCGATGAAAGATTCTTATATTTCACTTCTTCTTTCACACAAGTACAATAAAATAGTGGATACTGTTGGAGTACCACAAAGGGAAGATTCATCAAATTATTCACTAATTTAATTTTCTAAAAAGTTAGATGACAATATCTCGGAATAAATGGATTTTGATACCTAATTATTTAAATATAATATCGGATTTTAACGTATTTAAGGTTATAAACATATGCTTTTCACATCCATGAAATGATTTTATATTTTACTTCTTCTTTCACACAAGTACAATGAAATAGTTTTTTTAACAATGTCATTGCCTTGATTAGGTGGATTTTAAATTTTTTTTTAAACTTAAAAATATTTTAAGTTATAAAAGTTTACATTTAGTAAGTAAATTGTATTTAATTTCCTTGAAAACATGTGATTTACGTTAAATAATATTAGTTTTAAAAAATTATTATTTATAATTTTTTTGCCACTTTCCGTTACCTTCTACAATTTTCTATATTAGATATTGCTTTTTCTGAAATTTTCCGCTTTCCAACGATATATTATACGCATACCTTCTGACCGTTATTTCCGGAGATTCATTTTCGACCTGGATAAGCATTTTTATTTTTTTCTCCTTTATTAACTTATCAAATTCTTTCAAAAGTTATATTTAGCATTTTTTCGTAACTCTGAATAATGTGAGATGATTAACTTTTAAAAATAAACCATATTAAAGGTAGTTTAGAGGAAGACACATATGAACATTGGGTATTTAAGCCCTGTAAAGTAACATCAATGGGAATAAGATCTCATTGATATTAAAGACCACTTAATTATACAATGAGTCACTGAGTTTAATCAAAATCGTTAGAGCCGTTTTTGAGAAAATTGTGAAAATGAGTTTCAGCGTAGATATAAAGTGGCACTTCCGGTTAGCCGATATTAAGGAAAAAATTGCGATCACATCTAAGGCATATACCTATCTTAAATACGCAATATCAGTTTCGTACGACTTTTCATTTTTGAGCTAGACTGCTAACATACACAAACACCTTATCCTTTAATACATAAATTATGAAAGTAGTTTTCGAAAATCGTACGTGTAAAAATGATTATAAATATTTTATAAAAGTTCTTTGAAAACAATATTTAAAGCAATAATACATAAATTATAATAGGCTGTATCTTTGTAAATAATGGTCCGATTTCCATGGTTTTTTTTTTTTTCATTTTGTAGGGAATTGAGTTAATTTTCTAATAATAATGGATCTAATCAAGAAAAAATTTATACTTTTTAAATAATTCGCAAATAAATTTTCTTTTCATTCATAACTTTTTTTCCTGAAATTTCGGGTGGATGTTAATATGATTCGTCACTGCTCCATTTAATACCCTTTCCTAATACCGTTTGATACCTCATTCATCAAAATATATCACTCCTGAGAGTCGGAAAAGGGATCGTTATGACAGAAAACTGTTGTATTATATTATAAAAATAGATAGTTGTGTTGAGGTGGTAGCCATAGCAACTGGTTTACTTTTCATTATAATTTTTTGCCTAGAATTTACTAAAACCTTCATAACTCCTCTGGATTTTCTCCTAAATCAGTGAGAGTATAACCATTGGAAAGCCGAATTGTTACTCGTCAAAGCCGTATAAGTAACTTTTTGATCTAATAACTCCAAGGTGCAAATAAATAAATACTCCTATGTTTTTATTTTATATCTCAAGTCTTAAAATAATTAGGAGGTCCGATTTATATCATTTCGTGTAGTTTATGTAGCCCTAAACTCCTGGTGAATTTCGTGTGGATAGGTGGAGGCATTTTAAAGTTAAGCATCACACTTTTTGTGATTTTTGAAAAAAGTCAAAAATTATTATTTTCTGATTGCTATGAAAATTCATATTTGAGGGTTCTACGAGATGCAAAAAACCAATCATAATTCTGTTCCTCCTTAAATAATTATTTGAACTCACTTTGCTCCTAGGGTCGATTCAAATTGTTTCTAATTTACAAATTTCTAATTGATTTTCATGATTTCATTTCTTTGTTTTGTAGGGAATTGAGTCAATTTTCAAATAATAATAGGTCTAATCAAGAAAAAAATGTATACTTTTTAAGTAATTCGTTTGATACCTCATTCATCAAAATACATCATTCTGAAGCCTTTTTTTTTTTTGTGGGTCCTTCTCCTTCCTCGCCTTTAAGGTTATACGGGGTTTTCCCGGGCAAGGGGATATGGGCGGGGATTTAAAAGACTCCCCCGCCCCACTTTTGTTCTGAGAGCCAAAAAGGGATTGTTACAGCAAAAAACTGTCGTACTATATTATACAGATAGATTGTTTTATACCGTCGTTTGTACTTAAACTTCTCCAAATATGAAAATACTTATGTATGTGAAAGTGAAAGTTGTGTGTGCACGCACTGGACCAGATTATTTTATGTTATGCTCCCTTTGTCTTTATATAAAATTTGTTTATTACTTTTTATATTTAAACATACTTAGGGACAAAATTGATCTTGACCAACAATTGGTTGCATTTGCTCATTGATAGCTAATCTCTAAGGGTTTGCTAATTCATTTGGCATGTTATACAATTATTATAGTATTTACTATTTTTTTTTAATTATAAAAAATATTTCTTGGGAAGAAATATTTTTTAAAAAATCGAACCTGGAAAAATGAGCCCTCAGAGTGCAAGACAAATTGTCCCCTTGGTCAATAAGTTTCTGTATACTGTACTCAAAAAGTTGAAGGGTTTTAGGGAGAAGGCTTTGAGAAAATTCTTTTTAAATTGTTAGAGCAATTTTGGCAAGATATGCGACGGAAAAACACAGTTTTGCAAGTTGTCTTTGCAACTTGCAGTTTTGCAAGTCAAGTCAGTGACAAGATTCTAACTATATCTTGACAAATTTGAAACAAAATCAGATATAGTATTTCTTTATTTAACCAATTTTAAAAGTTATTTACAATTATTAAAAATAATGAGGATAAAATTGATATATTTTACAAATAAGGAAAAAATTTTTTGTGAATTAATTTTTTTTTTCTTAAAGTTGAAAATAGACCAGTTACCAATATGTTAAACCAAGGCAGCGAAATGTGAACTGAAGAGGCTGATAATTATGTCAATACTGTACGTGATTTTTTTTTTTAAATTGACCTGTTAATTTTTACAAATATTTTTTTCTCATTGATAGATTAACTGGTGATACAATTATATAAGATACAGTATTTGTAGTTTTATCACAAAAATAAAATATTAGTTTGTAGAATAGTAAAAATCAAATTTTACATGATTTTTAAAAGTTTTTATGAACTAAAAATAACAAGTGACTGCCAAAAAGATTCGAATTATCCAAAAATTTGAATTGTTTAATTTTGACTGTTCTATAGCTTCCAAATAAGAAAATGATATCTCAGAAAGGAGAACAGTCTAGGAGAGGGAAAGAAACAATCGAACAATAAATAAAATAACAGTTTATATTTCATCTTCAATTTTAATATTTGTTAAATCAGTTCATAAAATACCATAAAACTTAAGACACATTCTGTCAAGTCAGTTCTTTTTTGTGATTGGCTCCTTTTTTAGTCAACATAATTTTCGGATCTTATTCAATTAATCAGATCCAATTGACATGTACTCATCATTTACAATTTTAAACAGGCATGCATAATCCAACAACAAAGTACAGATATTTTGTGATGAAAAAAATAAAAACTGAATAATTTTACAAGTTTTTATGAAAATCAAAATTTATTTTTTAAAAATAAATAAAATATTTTTTTTAAAAAGAATCCAATTAAAATAAATCATCAAACAGTGGATGGATTAAACAAGGAGAAATCATGTGCATTAAGGGATTAAGGTATATTCATTTTTTAAAATTCTAATTACCCAAATTTCCTTCAAATCAAAAAACTTAACTGTGATGGTCCTTAAAATGTGCAATATGCTTTGATGTAACAAATTACAATTAACCATAAATTAAAATCTTTATCTATATTTAAATCCATAAATCTCTATGTTTGATAATGTAACATACCTCCTCTTGCCTGAGTCCAAATAATCGATTGTATTTTGCAGGATAACCAACAAACTTCCCTTTAAGAAATGCAATATACATAATTGATGTATAGTAATTGACAAATTGAAATAAATATATCTTAATAGTAAGAGATTCATCAAATTCTGTTTGAGTTCTATGCATTTCTAATTCTGTCAAATATACTGCAACTTTGTCATAAATCTAAATATAACAAAAAAGAATTACACACTTCCACCACTCAATACACTATAGTTGAAACATTGATGTTCAATATGTTATAATTGATTTGATAGTAAATTTAAAAAAAAATACTCACATAATTGAGAACAAGAATAAATGCAAGATTCAATATAGCAGCAGTGGCAGGTATAATTATCAAGGCATAATTGGCTGCCCAATCTTGATCAGCATATATACTGATGGAAGCGAGAACTGACATGCGATAAAAAACAACACCAAATACAGCTGCAACTGCCAACAATACCTGAAATAAAATTTTATTATCAAACACATTGAATATATTAAATTATAATAATTATGTAATTTATTATATTATTAATATGTTATATATTAATTTCTGCACAGAACCTATTGTCTTCTTCCTTGTTTCTTTCCTTTTATCTCATGACTTCATCAAAATATTATACAATACCAGACTCCAGAATCTTTCCTAAAACATTAACCTTCCGCAAAATAAATTCCTTCACTCATGAAAACATCTTGTCCAATATTAAAACTCTGAATTAGAATGAAATTTAAACCTGCTCCTCTATTGATTCTATGGTAGCTATCCTGACTTCTAATCAAATAATATCCATGCCCCTTTTAAAACCTCTACATTTCGTCGCAGGTCTGCTCCTTGGTTGACTTAAAAAAATTCGAGGTATGCAAAAGATACTTGAGGAAGCCTGTAAACATTTTAGACGGACCAGGCATGCAGATGACTATGAAGCGTTTAGGGTACTCTGCAATGCGAGGCAAACAATAATCAGGCAAACGAAAAACAATTACTTTAACGAAGCCTTCACCTCTGCTCCTGATCCCAAATCTAAATGGGATATACTTTTAAAACTCTTATACTCTCTCTTTTCAAATCCTCTTTCTCTTTAATCTTTTCAGTTTCACCTGATACTTTAAATTCCTACTTTTTATTCTCCTCCTCTATCAGTATTTCGCCCGTCTCTCTTATTTTTCTTTATCATCTCCATTCAACAGTAACAATTTTTATTTTCCCTACATCTCTCCTACGGATCTTATTACCTTCTTAATGAAATTCCAATCCAACTCCATTGGATTTGACAGAACAAATTGTTAAAATTATTTTCCTCCCTGAGATTCTCCTATTCCTTCTATTCCCTCCAAAATTCTATTTTTCCTAACTCTTAGAAAAAGGCCTTAGTCCATCCTATGAACAAAACCCCCAATCCCACCTTTCCCAAAGATTATCATCCAATTTCCATGCTCACTAATCTGTCAAAACCCCTAGAAAGAATAGTTCAACTCCAAATATCTAATTTTCTGGAAAAGTTGTATTAGATGGCCTCTAATATTTGCTCCTTAATGTGACATTGAGTGAGGGAATGTAGGATTGCATTATGAATTGGATTCAATTGTGCAGTGGACAAATTGTTTATTGAAAAGTATCAAATTGATAAACAATCGACGAAGAAGGAAGAAGCATGCAAAAGTGACAGTAAGTGTCAGCAGCTGGAGAAGGATATGCAGGAGAACAAAGAAAACACTTAAGACCGGGACAGGAAAAAGAAAGCAGGTTACCAGAGGAGAGAAGACCACTCCCCCCATTGAAGATTAAGATCAATTCATTTATGACAGTTGTCAAAATAAATCATTTTGTTATATAGGAGTGAATAGTCCTTTTATTAAGTTGTTCTACAGGCCTCACAATTGAAGAATAACAAACCAGGTCAATCAATTCATTCAAAGTGTATTTACTCAGTCCCACATTTCATATTTATATATTCTTATTATTTCTTGTATCTCAGTGTCACAAAAGTATTAGGTTCCCAAATTCTCAACAATAGTAAACAACCTCAAAAAGTCTATATCCAGTGCCATGGTTTGGTTTTAAAAAATAATTTAAATTCACAAGTGTAAATAACCAGGACAACCGACAAAACGGAAGGGATATTTACAATTGCCACCCGAACTAGGTTACTTACAGAGTACAAACTTCCAGATCCTTTACAACCTGGCTTTTGCCCAGGCTTCTCAACTTAATCCGCTTTAGTTAAAATCACAAATGACAAACATACTGCAATGGACGAAAAAAAGAACTGTACAAATACTCCTAAACTTCTTCAAAACATTTGATTCCTTAGACCATTATATCCTCTTTGCTAAATTAAAATCTCTATCCTTCTCAAATAGTTCTACTCTATGGTTCCAATCTTTCCTTTCCGACCGGACTCAAGCCGTAAGTATTCTGAATCAATCCTTATCTTCCTTCCGTACTCTGTCTTCTGGAGTTGCCCAGGGTTCAAGCATTTTCCCTCTCCTTTTTAATTCTTATATCAATGACCTTCCTAATTCTATCCATCACTTCTCACACCACCTATTCTCTCAAATCCATTTCAGTACCTCCCAATCTTTTTCTGAACAACTCACCTATCTCCTTCCACCGTCAAAACCTTGGCCTTACCCTCGATCAAACCCTCTCCTGGAAACCACACATCTCTCAAATTTTCTGCCGTACTATTTCCACCCTGAAACAGCATAACCATCTATGTTATCTTCTTCCGTTCAAAATCCGTCAACTCCTAGTCTCATCTCTTGTTTTTCCCACTTTGACTATGGCTGTATGGTATGGTATGGTATATGGTGGACTCTCGGGAGAACTCGAAGCTAAACTTAAACGTCTAATGAATTGCTCATTCCACTTTTTCTCTGGGATCTCAAGGGATACGTATATTACCCAGTTTTACATCGAGTTGAAGTGGCTTTATTCGTCCTACCGCCGTCAATATTTCCTTGCTACTTTCCTATACCAGGCCATTAGAACTAGGCGACCCACCTATATTCTACAAATCCTACAATTCAAACGCTCCTTTCAATCCCGTTTCACCAGATCCTGTATGTCCGACCACTATTCTTCACACCGAACTGCTTTGTTTGACAAATCCTTTTTAATTCAAGTTGTCCCCCTCTGGAACTCTATACCCTCAGATATTCGACACGCAAAGTCAGTATCCTCTTTCAAATCTCTCCTCTTCAAACAACTACTCCATTCCTAATCTGATTGATCATGAAATGCACTTAATTGTATTTTATGGACAGAATGGTCCAGAATATTAATATATGTTCTGTACTTGTAACTTGTTCTAAAGGGACACTAGTCCCAGAATAATAAAGTTATTTTCATTCATTCATTGATTCACCTATAGGTCGATGAATCCGACTCCCAAATCTATTTATCCTTTTTCCCTACTTGAGTTGTTAGTAGTGTTTGCTAATTCAGAAAGACCTAGATAGGATCATTACTGGAGCAAGCTTGAATAAATTAAAGCTAAATACAACGAAAACTCAAGCCATTCATATTGGTTGCGACTCCCTCCTTAAATCTGTTGCCATCCTTCCTTCTTTAATTATTAATGACTTACCTATCACCTTCTCCTCCTCTGTTAAAAACTTAGGAATACCATTGACGAAAACCTCTCATTCAGATCTCATATTGCTCATATCTCCAGAGGGTCAATTGGTACTCTTAAAATATTCTTTCGTTCCCGTAAGCATCTTCTACAACATCTCCACAAGCTCCTCGTTTCTTCATTGATTTTCCAAGACTTTGAGTATGGCCCTGTGGTATACAGTGGCTTATTGATTGTACTCCAGGATTGCTTCTTTGTAAAAGAATTGCTTGTCAATGTGACAGATAATCTTGTGAGGTCCTGATTATGGTGGGATAAGCGGTTAGCGCACGGTGTCTTCTAGCAGAAAAACATGAGTCGTACTCCTAAGATCCTTGTAGAGGAGTGATTTTCTGCTTATGTTGGCTCATATTTTTGCAGATCCGACCTTTATGAAATATTTTTTTTATTTTCGACATAAGAATGCACCGCGGCCTCATGAAGGCCTATTGTGCATTGTCCTAGACTCAATTAAAACAGGCCAGATGCCTTTGCAAACCTGTTAATAGTAATAGGATCTATTAGTTCGCAGTGCTTAGCATCAGTGTTATGATCACATCCAAAGTGAAAGTATCGCAATCTCACCAAATTATCATATCTACAAATAATGTGATAGGCTGTTTCATATTCCTTGCCAAATCTTCGTTGAGCTGCTGCAAGGCTATACTGGGTTCTGTACATGGAGTAGATTCCTGAAAAAACTCCCCAGGTTGTCGAAAAGACTGGCCGAATCACAGTGAATCAGTCGTTATGTCGTCATGGAAGGTGGAGCATAGACCAAGTAGAACTGCTGGTCTGGCACCAGTCCCTTTATCTGAAGCGTCGCATGCCAAAACTAATTCTCCAGAAATAGCCTTATGTGAATACGCTTATTCACTCTTTTGTCTCCCACAGTAGAGGTGGCTCGAACGGAGTGCATGCGTCCCACTTTGGGGTAGTCTATGAAAGTTTTAGTTTTTTACACACTCAACTTCATATGGATATGGTTTGATTCACGAACGCTTGGTAAGTTCTATGTAAGCTGCTGATGTGTAGATCACTTCCTTTCTGCGATTTCGCAGATTTATTAGTTTGAAAAGATGAAACTACTGTTCTTTTTTTATCTTGTGTTAAAGTTTACAATTAATGAAATAGATTCTCTGTCTCTCACTATCTTGAATTCAGCAGCATAGTAGCTTTTTTCCAGTCAAGCTCAATTTGCAGTTGCCAGAAGGTTCTGATTGTTTTGAAGGCCGTTCATTATTATATTCCAACTAATTATTATTATTATAAATTGATTATTATTATGTACATTTTTTTTAGTCTGATAAGAGTGTCAGTGATGAGATCGGATATTAATTTTTATTTCATTGTCGGTATTTTTATTTGTTTAAACACTGATATATATACAAATTTTAATTTGTATCCTGCAGTAATCTATACAATTAGATATTAAATAATACCAGCACTAAAAAAAAAATGCACATGTATAAGTAAAAATATTATTGGAACCAGCACGTCCTTCATCTGTGATTTCTCATTATGAACGTGTTACGTTAATAAGACTTTCTTAACCTTTCACCAAGCTCAATGACATGCTCGAGTTTGTTTGCCAGTCCTCGGCTCCACATTACCCCAAGCCAGCGTACGAGTCTTCAACGATTCTCAGTCCCTCATTATTTCTTCTTTAGATGCTTATTTCTCCTTTAGTTATCAATTAATTTTTTTTTCAGTTTTTATATTTAACAATTATTATTCCTTATTTACAGTGTGAAATAGTTAGTTTTTTTAAAATAAACAATATGAAAGATACTTTAGAGGAAGAAATTTATAAAAATCAAATCAGCATTTGAGCCTTGCTGGAGAATATCAATGATGATAAAGCCTACCTTATATTAAAAAGAACTTAATTGTACATTACCATATTGAGTTTAACCAAATCATGAGAGCCATTCTTCAGAAAATTGTAAAAATGTGTTAAATCGATGATATAAAGTGCCACTTCTGGTTTGCTGATTTTGATGAAAAAGTCTTTATGACATCCCAGGCAAATATAAACACCTTAAATATTTCAATTTCGTACTTTTTGTTTTTTTGACTTTTTGTTTTTGAGCTAGACTGTTCACACACACTTTGAAATTTTTCATGATCACAATTCTTTCTCGTACTATGTATTTTATATTTAGCTAAGTGAAAGTAATAAAAATCTTATGATAAAACCTTTTGTTTTTTTAATGATAACATGTTAATCCTCATTCTTTGAACGAACTTTAGTTGAACGAACTTTCAAAAAATTAAAGATTAATGACAACACATTTATGTTCACTCTGACACTAATAAGAATATTAAAATATAGAAAATGAAAGGCCATAAGTATGGACATGTCAGAGGATCCTAACGCATCTGTCCAAACATGAACGTCGTCTGCATATTAAAAATTCATATTTATAATAATATATCACATACATAGGATAATACCCTTACCAAAATTATAACAACTGAAAAGCTGAACAAAGTTGCTGGAACTTTTAAAGTCCAGAATGGCACATAAGGTTCCCTCACACCAGTGACCACATTTGTTTTTGATTTCTTAGGATTTGTTCCATCGAAGCGAGCCATATATTGAGGTCTTGGAGGTTCACTTAGAAGATTAAAGTCGGTAAGACCCCACCTGTGTGCTATTGACGCAGAATACCTCTTCCATAACTCTAAAAATAAAGTAGCTGAAAAAAACACAATACAAAATATGAAAATAAAACAAGATGAAATACAAACTTGAACTTCTAAAATATATTATAATTATCAAATGCTAATAATATTTAAATGAAATGCATGAGATTTAACAGAACATAAATAAACCACTAAAAATTAGTCGAGAATGTCATATTGATAAATAGAACAGGAAACTAACCCCAAAACGACATGAAGATTGCAAAGACAATAGTTACTGGATTGTCAAAAAGATACGTGAACTTAGCGAAAGTACAAGTGTCAGAAAGTTTCCAGTAATCACATGTCTTATCACACAGAGGGCACATGATGATGTTTAGAGATTCGTCACATATATCGGTACTGTAATAGAAAATATCATATAAAATTAAATTTGTACAGCAAAATATTTCTTAAATATTTTATAACCATATAAAAATTTTATAAACATAAAAATCTTTTTTTTCTTCTTGTAGACAATCAGCAAACAATTTGTTCTTTTTCCTTCTAAATGGGACTCTCTAATAAACAATATTTAAATAGATGATAATAGGCCTCAAGAGCTACAAAAAAAAAGTCATAGATCTTGGTCCAATTCTTCAAGATAAAGCAGGAAATTTAAATTATGTGTTTTAAGTAAGTCACATTTTTTGTTTTTTTCATTTGTTTGGTTTCATAATAATTAATAATTATGGAATAATTAAATTATGAAATAATACAATTACAAAATTAAGATAAAAGGCATTCTATTTTTTAAATAAATGAAAATAATGGATAAATAAATTTACAATAAAAGTTATCAAGGGAATTTCAAAACAAGGTAGCACACATGATAAAAGATTTTTTAAAAGGAAAAGTGGGAATAATAACTCTTTAATATCAGAAACAAATAGACAAGAAGAATAAAATTCACTCTAAAACGCTATTTGATATGGTAAGGTTTTCGAGTTTTAGAGGATATTGTGATTAATGGAGTCAATAGCCTTTAAAAATTAAGAGGATAAGGATAGTAAGTTTCTGTTTATCAATGGAGTATTGAATATCTTAAATAATTTTCTACAAAGCAGATTATGTGGAATACTAGGATCGGAAACCAAGATATGAGAATAAATAAAAGCTATTTGTAAAAGAAAGTCATTAAGATGTGAATGGATTGTTCTTTCAACTGGTTTTGAAAGATTGGAGATAATGAAGATAGGTCCGAAGTTAGAAACTTTGGAGGGGACAGAGTCATTGTTCAGAAAACAGATTAAGTTGACAGAGTTTATAGTATATAGCATCAATAACAAAAACGATTGGTGAAAAGAAACAATGAGCTTACGATAATTAAAATATGTGCTAACATGTCCTACTTCCTATTTCATGAAGGTATCGAAATATAAGGTGTTAATTTTCATTAACTACAATATTTACCTTAATTGATCAGCACTCAATGTTAAAATGCCATAAACAAAGCAGAGTAAACCAACAATAGATGCTGGAATGAGCATATGTGTATAAAATCCAAGCCAGGCAAAATAAAGGGCAAATTTGACACCAAAATACTCTCTAATATGGTCAATTGGCTGGAACATTGCCCATTTACTAACATGAGCCCACTCGTAAAACAGTTTACCTCTAAGGCATGTATTATCATCAGGTTCCCCCTGAAAAAAAATTAATTAAAATGGATTTTCATTTTTAAGTACACACATGTATGTAAACTTAAGGGACCTTTTCCCAGAATAAAGTTTATTTTCTATCTATCTACGTAATATAGCTTTATCTGCAAACTATAACTCGACCATGATGAACTGATAGAATTGTTGACCATGAGGAGGGAAAAAAGAGGGTCATACATAATAAATCTTATTTGTATATGCTATTTCACCTGAACACACACCCCAACCAACTTCTCTTACAATTACAAAATAAACTAATTAACATAATATATAAAGCTATTATAATAACCAATTAAAATTAACACTTACATCATGTAGAGGATATGCAGCTTTATATACTCCATCATTTATGAGTTTTTCAATTCCAAAATTGGTGCTTTCTTTAGCACTAGTCTCACTTACTGGACCATCAAAGCTAGTTCTTGATAAAATAAAATCCACAATAAGAGTTCTTACTTGGGAGGAGAAAAAGTTACTATCTTCTTCATCAAATCTATTAGAGAGTAGAATAAAAATAAATATTTGTTTCCTATTTTTTAGCATATAAACATACAAGATGAAATTTAAACTTACAAGTAGGTTTTATGCCTGTTGTACTCTGCAGAAAGTCGGTATTTCTCTCTAGGGAACACTGAAGGATCAAGGCGAATACAAGAAATCAATTTAGAAAAAAATGATTTCACTTCTGTCATTAAATCAAAGTTTGATCCAAAAAGTCTGTCTCTTGGAGTCTGCAAATAAATTTTTATTATATTAATACATTGTAAGTCAAATTATTTATATCAACCTACTTAATATAGGAGACAATTAATTTTAATTTACAAAGAATGAAGTTAAAAAATTAAATATTTTAATATAAAACTTTCAAACTGCAAGAAACACAAAATTACAAAATAGCAACAAGCATCAAAGTGTGCAAAAGTTCGATTATATATATTCGACTCCTTAAATATAGCCATCTGCTTTTGATATACTTAGATTTAATTCTTAAAATGTTTGGAGCTATTTAAAATACAATTAATTTAAGTTACACAAACTCTGTAATTCCTTAAACAATTAAATATTAAAAGCTACCTAATTATATAGCAAATCTTAGTTCATTTGGAAAAATCTTTGATGTACATTACAGTAAATTGTTTAAAACGAACAAAAGAAGATAAGGCTATCCTTCAATAATTTTAAAATAATTTACATCTTAAATAAATAGAAAAATGAAAAAGATCTTTTTCTTGGAGTTAGAGGTTGATTTAAATTTCATTTATTCGTAGAAAAAAATAAATAAGTACAAATAAGCAAATAGGATTTTTTTCCAAACCTGGAATGCAATAACAGTAATTTTCTTAAATATTAAGTCTTTTAATTTTCACATACATATATATGCAATATATAATTTAATATAATGAAAATTTTCAAATCTGAATTTTCAACAGAAATACATGTTTTGAGGTTCCCTGAATCCAAATAACCAATTCCTCCAAAATGGTCTGAGTGTGTGTGTCAACAGTCACACTCAAAAACTAAAAAATCGTTCACAACTGAAATTCCGTATTCAAGGTTTATACATGTCTGGAATGTTACTGAAACTTTTTCATCAAAATCGGCAAACAGCGTAAGGGCCACTTTATATCATCAATAATACACATTTTTACAATTTTATCGAAAACAGCGTGAACCATTTAGATTAAATTTATTATATCACAGTAAAATTAAGCCATTTTTCATGTAATGTAGGTCTTATTCTCATTGATGTTCTCTATCTAACATGGATTAAATGCCTAAATTTCAAAATTTCTTTTGCTAAAGTAATCTTCGTCCAATATAAAAAAGGTGAAGAATGGATTTATTTCTGAAATATTCGCAGTTAGCCAATAATAATAAAAAGATTAATGAGAAGGCCTAAATGGATAGTAGCACCAATAAAAGAAGAATGAAGTTGATGAGCGAGCCTGCTCGAATCAGGGCTGAGCGGGTTGAAATTAATATTGTGGTGGGCCTATGGACTGAATCTTTACCTTTCTACTGTGGTTAGAATAGGTTTAGTAGTACCTCTAGAACAAAGGTAACTTTGATAATACAAAATATTTAAGAACTTAATAGAATTCAGACGTTTTCTCACATAAATAAACATTTATTTATTTAATTGTTTTACATTATTAATATACAGAATAACCAATGTAATGCATTATTTTTTTTTAGTATTTATTAAATGTGTTTAAATCATCATAAATGCCTTAAACATCATAGTAATAATTCATTATTTATTACTACTTTTGTTTTCTTATATTTTTTTATTATTTTTCCTGCTTACTATAGCAATAAATATTTCCTATTATTTTCTTTATTTTAAATATTTGTTTCCCAGTCTTAAATTTCTACATTGTATTTTATTTCATTTTGGTATTATTGTTTAATCTCATAAAATATTGTTGATATAGTATGTTTTGTTTTTTTAATAAGCATTAAACCACAAGCTAGATAATAAAATTTGTAGAAAATAAATGTATGCATCCATTGGTTTAGAGAAAACATACAAACAGGAATATTTCAAACAATTTGTTTTCATTATCATAAATATACATTAAAGATAAATAATATACATTTATGATTAAAATCCATATGATGACAATAACAAACATGAATTTCTCTACAGTGAAAATTGATTTCAACCTTAAACTAAAGTGAAAAAAACTAATAATACTCAAACTAATCAGTTATAATAACTTTTTGATAAGTTCAATACAACCAATGTTTTAATTTGGGAAAAAAATGGTCAATACTCCACTGAATTTCACCAAAACATGGATCCACAAGGATAGACTTCTTTTGCATTACAGTTAATAATTAAATTAGTCTTCAATATCTCTAAATGATATATCCTTCTTTCGACCAAATATTCTATAAATTTTTTTTCTTTTTATTTAAACTTTAGAGCACTGTTCTTGCTGTATTATAAGCGGTAATTACAATTCACAGTGAAGAAATGTAATATATTCTTTTAGGTTTTTGAATAATAGGCACCATATTTAAATAGTTTTGTGATGGAAGAATAACAAACATTCCTTAACTTTTAACATCATTCCAACTTTAACACAATTTCTGTAAGTTATTAAGAAAAAAAAGCCCAAGTTCTCCAATTGTTAGTTGTGTCAATAGCTTATGATGTTGAGGCATTGGCCCATTTGACCATTAATGTATTCAATCCTAATTTATACAGTACATTTCACTCAAATTTCAGTAGTGGAGATTTGCAGTTTTTGTTCACAAGCATAAAAATCTAAATTTTGATAAATATATTATGTTATTTTGATTCTTTAAAATATACATTTTTTTTTCTAATAAGTAATTTTTGTTTAAATGTCCTTGTTTACACAGCAGGCAATATCAGTTAAACAAAAATACTTGCTAAATTCTAATGATTACATACCGCTTTCATAGGCATTCGAAGCCTAAGGATTTCAGAATATCTTCTCAAAACTTCTTTTGGCACATGAAGTTTAACAACATGCAACTTATCAGTTTGTTCTCTTTCAAGTTCTAGACCCTCTTCCTGAAGATTTGCTTCAAATAAAGCTCTTTTTTCCTCCGCAATTTCATTGCTCTGTTTACCATCTAACCAGGCAAGGACAAAATCAACTGATCGAAGATCGTCATTGAACATAATACTTTTGGCCTGAAAATAAAGATTATCAACTATGAAAATAAATTAAGTTAATGGTCTAATACAGATTATATAAAATAAGCTATGAAGCTAATAAAGTTTCACTGTTGCAATAAGGCACATTTAATACTTCAAAAATTATTGCAAGTTGAGTTTAAGGGCTCATCAAATAAATAAGATGATTAAAGAACTAGATAGACTATTAATTAAATATAAATAATCTTAAAATGAGTAAAACCATGATTTTTCATTCTTTATTAAAGTAGATTCTTCACAAAATGAATATTAATACACAAACAAAATTAAGAAACACATTTTTTTATATGTTAGAAAGCACACAATAAAAATATAGAAAATATTAAAAATAATTACAGTATTTTCACAGAAAATAATTGGAAAAAAACAATCACGTGAAGACAATATACAGTTAGGAACTAAATACATGATGGAAAGTGAATTTCCTACTATGGTCCTTCAATACCTCACAAACTTATGTCAAAGGATTGCTTAGCTTACCAAAATCAATTGGACACAGTAAAATAGTTTGAGCAATGCAACAAGGTCTTGATTTCTGGTTCAACTAACCATGCCAGTAGAGTGAGATAAAAATAAACATGAAATGTTTATTATACAAAGTGATATGCACTGGTAAACAAAAGACCAAGAAGTAAATCCATTTCAGTATTGTTTTTATTTTGGTTTAAAGATTAGTAGCTATTATATTGTATTACTTAACAATATTAATGTAAACATGAGATAATTTAAATTACAAACCACTTTAAATACTTCAGTAAAGAGCAAACACTTAATCTATTCTGTCTTCATATGGAGGAGTTAATTCAAGAGTAACAGAAAAAAAATAAACTAATCAACTGATAACATTATTCCATCAAGCTAATTATTTTTTTTTTTGTCTACATGAAACTGGTGATAACATTTTAATTAATGTAACACAAGTACTTAATAAATTAAAATGAACACAAAAATAATCTCAATTAATCCACTTAAAAAGCATAAATATTTTGGCATTAAATACTCACCACTTGAATGGATTAATTACACCAATTTGTAATACAAAGTTATAACAATAATTTGTAATAATTAATATAACAATTCAAAGATTCAGCAAAGCGCAATAATAAACCTAATATGGAGTGTAGGATTTAAGGCACTTTTTTCACTTTTTTTTTTTTATTAAACACCAAAGATGGGGAGAGTTTATCTCAGATACCAATTCAAGAATATAACAACTACATGACTCATCAATGACAGCTCAGCATCCACCATAACCATTCACTATTTCTCAACAAACAATGTAACAGCATTTAATTGTAAAAATGACAATAAATTTATGCACAACTAAGCGCTGAAAAATAAAATTATAATATTCTGCAATCTACTGTGGCATACCACCTGTGGAGTTGGATTTTTTGTGTTTTTAAAAAAGAGTGTTGTTTGTTCTGCCACTGCATCGGGCAAATCAGGTGCACTATGATAAATAGTAAATCTTGAGAGCCTAATTGAATCATGATCTGATGGAAGAGATTCCGTATATATTTCTTCTTGAGAACTTTCCATGTGCTGAAATTGATAAATTGAAAAATGCATCCAATTAATAACAGAAATTAGTCAAAGAAGCAATAATAGTATTAAACTGAAAATTACTGATGAAAAAGGAGCAGGTAAACTGTATACTGGTGTGTATAAATGTCTAAAATTACTGGTGACACTGTCAAGGTCTTCTAATGACCTTTATGGATAAAATATTTAAATTAAAACATAATGATAACGTTATCTAATGCATTTTCCTACTATAGTATAAATATGTGCATCTATAATAATCGAAAACATCTCACCAGTAGTTTAACCGGCGATAAGGGTTACCAAAAGCATCTCACTAACAAATCAACCAATTTTAATTCCATTTACTAACTGTTACTTTCAAGAATCATTTTTAAGTAGATGTACAGTTCTTGACATCCAAATTTAAATTTTTTTGACATAACCTACCACTGAAGTATAACCTGAAATGGCCCTAGGAAACCTATGGAATAACTCCGAAACAATTAAGATGCCAATTAATTTATAAATATATACGATTTTGAATTAGTGGAATATCAAGCAGGAATCTAAAAAAATTTATGCGTTAAATTATAATTGCCATAAATGTTTTATTATCCATTTCGATGTCAATAGTTAACTTATTTCCCACAGTTTGCTCAACTGCCACGTAAGCCGTCGTAGTCAAAACAGTGAAAGGATTTTTTTCTGTCTATTGTTTCCTTCAAAACCTTAAGTGAAATACAATTAGGTATAGAAGTCATAAAGAATCAGTTTACCAATTAGTGAGTTATTCTGATAACTGCAATGGAGACCACATTTTGAATGAAGAGTTTTTTCATTTGGGCATAGATATTAAAGCTGTATAAAAAATATATATATATATATATTTATAAATTCAAACATTAGACAGACCAGTATAGAACTGTGTATGTCAAGGTGAATCTACCATCAGATATTGACATGGTCCAGTGATTCTGAGTTTCCATGACCCCAGCAAACCCGACCTAAAGAATTATTATGAAACATTTGTATCCCAATACAGTGATTTAGATGTTGAATGGATGAAACAGCTGTAAAGCAATATAAAGAAACGTGCATAAAATAATTAATTAAAATTGTTGTTATACTTTAACAACAAAAACGCCCCTCTGTCACTTTTTACTGTTCATCCTCTAGACGCAATCAAATATTTAAAAGATAATCATTTTTTACATTCGTTGCCTGCAATTATCGCAAGTTGCTAAGTCAAGGAATGTATCGGGAGTTAAATTTTCTGTATCAGATTTTTAAAATAATTCTACATTTTAGACCCCTCAGTCCAAAACACGGGCGGATCTATGGGTAGGGAGCTTTGGGGCTGAAGCTTTCCAAAATGGTAAAATATATGTTGTATGGAAAAAATATTTAAAAAATATCTCTTAAAGTATTATTGTTCGTATAATTACATTTAAAAGGACTTTAGGAATCACTTAAACACCATTTCATATAGGTAGTTAGTTTTTTTGTTTTACTTACTTTCTTCCAAAGTAATTATCGTTATTTTTATGAAAAAAAAGCTTTCGGGCTGAAACCCCCCTCCAAAATTAAGTCCTGGATCCGCTAGTGGTCTAAAAAAACGCATTGTCAACCATTAGTTTTTGTTTATGAGAACCACGATTTCTTATAGGAAGATTGGACCAGATTTTTTTTTTTATTTTGTTGAACCTGTCAAAATAAAGATTAATTGTTTAATCTCAATTATTAATAGAGATTCCAGTCCCACTTAGTTGGTATCAGTAGCGGATCCAGGATTTAATTTTTTTTTTTGGGGGGGGGCTTCAGCCCGAAAGCCCCTCCCCCCCAAAATGGTAAAAGATAACCATGTTTTACAGAAAAAAATATTAAATACTATCTCTTAAAGTATTCTTGTTCGTGTAATTATATTTAATAAGACTTCAAGAACCATTTAAACCCTATTTCATATAGGTAGTTAATTTCTTTCCTTTTTTTCAAATTAATTATCGTTATATGTATATGAAAAAAAATCTTTCGGGCTGAAGTCACCCCCAAAATTAAATCCTGGATCCGCTAGTGGTTGGGATCATTATTGTTTTCGCTTTAATTAGATCGCTATTGGCGCCCTTTCAACCAGGATTTTTTTTATAATTGATGATGAAAAAGACCTCTGCTTGGTAGGAATGGTCCAGAAATACTACTGAAATTATTTTATAATAGGCATGGGCTACAAAGGCATGATAGAGACAGTGGGGATATGCCAAAGTAGCGAACCATTTGATTCGGGAAACAATATTCTAACAGTTTTTCGTTATAATTTCAATGTAAGCAGCAATTATTGCAACATATTATTAACTAGCATGGGTTGGAAGATCAAATGGGTGTGAGGTCGTGATGAACGAGGTTGTTAAAGCGTTATAGCCCTAGAGCCAGGGGAAAAAAAGGGACATCGCAGGCGAACGTTTGATTGTAAATTATGAGCCGCTACTTTCAGAAATGGCGGTCATGCAAAGAGGTCCAAATTTGTCGAAAATAGACACACCGCAGTTTAGATGAATCATTCTACCAAAAGGTGTCGTTTTCGAGCGGTCTGCCGTTTCTTAATTTTTAAAATTGCAGCTTTGGGGTAGTAAATTTGCCAACTGTAGGAGCTCTGGAATTATAACTACAATAAATGTGTGTGATAAAAGGAAGAAATAACGTTGTCTGCCTCTTTTAGGCAGCGGCGATCTATTGACGGACTTAAATTAAAAATTTACCGTTTTTAGGATGCTTCAGACTTTACTACATGAAAATATTTACTTTACTGCACACAATAAAGATAACCCATACCGATATTTCAAACAAGCGGCGCCCTTGTATGCTGAAACTGGAAATGCGGAAGACAATGCCGCGTTTTTGTTTAGTGCTTAAGATCACTAGCTGATCCAGGAGTTAATTTTGGAGGGTTTCAGCCCGAAAGTTTTTTCTCATAAAAATAACGATAATTATCAAAAAAATAAAAAAAGAAACAAACTAACTACCAATATGAAATGGTGTTTAAGTGATTCCTAAAATCCTTTTAAATGTAATTACACGAACAATAATACTTTAAGAGATAATTTTTTAATATTTTTTCCCATAAAACATGGTTATATTTTACCATTTTGGGAAGGCTTTTTATATACACTTAAACTACAGGGCGCTTTTTTTTTCTTTATTTCCTAGTTTAAAAGTTCTCTTTAAATTGAAAACTTAATGTGCCCTCCCAAAAATTCTGATGGCGCAGCTTGCGCCATACAAACTCCTTCTGGCACCCCTGGACCAGGTATCAGTCCGATCGAGTATAAAGTCAGCTTTAAAAGGAGATATAGAAAATAGTAATGTTTCATTAATAATATAATATTTAATACGACTTATTGTGTTTATGGAAAAATCAGTAGCTTTGTAAGCTGTTAGTCAACTCGATTGGATTAGTAGCTGACAGTTACCTTTGCTAAATTTAAGAGCTGCTTCGTGAATATTTTAACATGCATAGTTTCAAAGTCCTCATTGGTTCAATTCAAAGGCAGGGAAGAGGGGAAGGGGGGAAGGGAGGAAGCTTTCGGACAGAAGTCCCCTTTCCCGTGTCTTATGAAAAAACTATATCCGTGTCTTATGAAAAAATTATCTCTAAAAGAATTATCAACGTTCGTTTAATTACATTTAAACTTTAATACTTCAAGAATCACTTAAACCTGTTTTTTTTTCTTGTTCTTCCCTAACTCGCCTTTTAGATTATACATGATTTTGCTGGGCCAAAGGGTGAGGGCGAAGAATTTAAAATCCCCTCCGGCACCGGGACGCGAACTCGTACTTTTTTTAATCTCATAACTTCGATTATCTGGTTACCGGGTTACTCGCGGTGCTTTGCACAGGCCGTTCGGCCACCCCGCCCCTCTCCTTAAACACCTCTTCATATAGGTAGCTAGTTCCATTATTTTTCTTCCAAAGTAATTATCGTTATATATATATATATATATATATATATATATATATATATATATATATATATATAAAACTTACAGGCTGAAGCCCCCTCTCCAAAATCAAATTCTGGATCCACTAGTGGTTCAATTAATTTGAATTTAAAATTTTAATATTATTGTAAAATTGTAGAAACAGAGCTTACCTCTAAGTCATAAAACCTATAGTTGTCATCAAGAAACCTTTCTATCACGCTCTGAAATAAAGGTTCTTCGTCTGACTGTGAGTCATCCAGCTGCTCATTCCTCTTACTGTACCTGAAGATATTTTAAGTGGGATAATTATTTTATTATTATTTTACTCTTAATCGTATGTAAACATAGTATGTACAATACAGTAATATTACATTATGCCACCAAATATAAAAAATTACATATCATTATTTAAAAATAACTTTGAGAGCCGCTAAATTATAAACAATGATTACAAATAAATAATATAATGAATATGAATAAACACTAAGCGATAAAAAATGAAAAATGTTTTTGGACCTAATTGACCTATGCCATTACAGTCGTCATTGTTTTTATTAAAAAGTTTAAAAATATAACTTTTAAAAGAATTTGACAATTAAATAAAGGAGAAAAAAAGAAAATTACTTATCCAGGTTGAAAATGAATATACGGAAACAATAGTCAGGAGGTATGTGTATAATATATCGTTGGAAAGCGGGGAATTAAAAAAAAAACAATATAGAATAATATAATATATAAAGTTTAGACACTAGCGGATCCAGGATTTAATTTTGGGGGGGCTTCAGCCCGAAACCTTTTTTTTCATAAAAATGACGATAATTTCTTTGGAAAAAGAAAGAAACTAACTATCTATATGGAATGGTGCTTAAGTGATTCCTTAAATCCTTTTAAATGTAATTACACGAACAATAATAATTTAAGAGACAATTTTTAAATATTTTTTTCCATAAAAGATGGTTATATTTTACCATTTTGGGGGAAGCTTCAGCCCGAAAGCCCCCCCTCCTCCTCCCACCTATAGATCTGCCCGTGGTTGTAGAAGGTAACGGAGAGTGATGAAAAAAATATAAATAATAATTTCTAAAAACTAACATTTAACGTAAATCAGGTGTTTTCAAGGAAATTAAATGAAATTTTCTTACTAAATATTTAACCCAAACTTTAAAATTTTGTTTAAGTTTGAGAAAGTATTTAAAATCCACATATTCAAGCGAATGACACTGTTTAAGATACTATTTGATTGTACTTGTGGGAAAGAAGATGTGAAATATAAAAATATTTCATGGATAGGTTTATAACCTTAAATATATTTACTGTAATTTAATAATTCTAGATCTGATATTATATTTAAACAATTAGGTATCTATCAATTAGGCAATCGTCCGTTTATTCCGAAAAATCATCATGTGGCCTTTTATAAATTTAAGTTAGTGAATAATTTGATGAATTTTCTCTTTGCGATATCCAACAGTACCCACTTACAATTAGTGTGGCAACTTTTGACTTGTCTATAACAGACAATGCAAATCTCTTAATTCCGTTTTAGTAAACTTTGTAATGGAAAATAACAGTTTAATAACTAATAGTCGTACAATCCATAATCAACGGATCCTACAATCCATAATCAACGAATCGTACAGTCCAAAATCAACCTGTGCTATAATAAATAGGACTTTTGTTAATTTCATAGTATCTATGATTTGTTAGCTGCAATCTTTTAGCTTCAGCTCAGTTAAAAATGCAATCAAAATTTTTATAATAGCCCAACATGGCCAGAAAATAATTTCTATTCAAAGTTGAGTGGTATGTGAAAGTTGTGTGTTACGGCATTTAAACCTTGTAAAGTGACATCAATGGGGATAAGACCTAAACGATATCAAAAACCACTTAATTATAAAATGATACACCGAGTTTAATCAAAATCATTTGAGCTGCTTTTGTGAAAAATGTGTTTCAGCGTTGATATAAAGTGGCACTTCCGGTTAGCCGATTTTAAGGAAAAAGTTGCCATGACATCTAAGGCCTATACCTATCTTAAATACGTAATATCAGTTTCGTACGACTTTATGTTTTCGAGCTAGAGTGTTCACATACACACAGACAAACAGACATTCAGACTATTTTTCGGAACTTATTATTTGGACTCAGGGTACCTCAAAACGTGTATTTCTGTTGAAATCTCAAACTCGAAACTTTTGACGACCGCAATACTTACCCTTACTATATATTGCATATATAGGTGAGTGAAAGTAATAAAAAAAGGCAATGTTCACACGAAAAACAGTGAACGCAGTGCCCCAAAATGTCAAAAAATGGCGGATTGGCGACTTTGACTTGAGTTAGTTTTTTGGTAACTGAGAATCAGCATTTGGTTTAATTTCGTCATAATTGGCCTGTTATTAAAGCTAAACGGACATAAAATAATAAAACATGAAAACATATTAAAAAATAATTGATTTAGGCAATAAAAAAACAACAGTAAAGCCATTTTTTTCAAATAAAATTTTCAAGTTGAGAATCAAGCGTCGTTTGTAATTAAACGGCCAACAATAACGGAAAACGTCCTGAAATAAAACATCTGGAGAATATGTTTTTCTTTCTAAAACACTGATTACTTTTTAAAATATTTGAAGCAGTTCCGTAGAAAATGCACTAAGCGGCAGAAAAGCGGTACTAGCGTAGGTGCCTACAGGCCTCTCCATACCATTCAGTACTCATAAATAGCTTAGTTATATTGCTATAATAACGTGTTTGGTAGATTATATTGATTGTATTAACGAACAATTATTAATGCAATAATTTAATTGTAATAAAAAATTAAACAATCTTTTTTATAATTTTTCTTTAAAATATTATTTCCTTTATTATATAAGGAGATCGTTTAAGAATGCTTGTATTGCGAAATTCATATAATTATAATAATAGTACTTGATTAAAAAATACTTCACTGAATTTTGTATTTAACGTTTGCAATTGAACACTTTCTGTTGTATATTTACTGGTTCTTAGAGTTCAGTTTAACTGTATATAATTTATCGGAAATGAGTCATATTAATACATGTTTGATAAACTAAAATATAATTAATCTGTATTACATATAATGAATAGTTGCTGGGTTGTTTAATAAAACTCATATATCACTAATAAAAAAAATAATTTATTTTTTTAATTTCTTTCATTTTGTTCAGAGGTTGGGCCATATCATAAAAAAAAAAATAGATAATTTTAATGTTGAATGCTTTATTCTCTCTGCACAAAAAATGATGGAAAGGGCAAAGCTATATATTCTTCTAGATAACCGGAACTAATTGTTAGTATTGGGTATCAAAATGAGGGAAAACGCCAAATTGAACCTAAAAATTGGAAAAATAAATTAAGCGAACGAAGAGTGATTTGTGTAAATCTCGGAAAAGAAAACAAGGATCGGTATCCATTATATGGCTAAAAGAATATATAGTATATAGTTAAACACATTTATTTTCATACACAGGCATATATATATACATATGTAATAATTGAAGTATATAATAATAGTGGTGAATTCCATATATATATATAGGTATATGGTTTCCATATACCAAAAGTATATATATACTTTTGGTGTATGGAATTAACTTGTTTGGCAAGTGTGCTCCCCCCCCCTTTCTCAGAACATTTTTGGAGACCATTGTCTCAGAAATTCCTGGAAATACTTTTCTTTTCGGACTGTAAAATTCGTAGCAGCTGGGATGAGCCTTCTTCAATACGATTCGTTCCATTTTGACCTAACTGAAGATCATAATAAACTTACGAAGCAAAGAGAAATTCAATAAAACCGGGTCCCGTTCAAAGAGTACATAAACAGAAATTGCAAAGACCGTTCTTCTCTAAATCACATTTTAATATTTTAGTAACACTGAACTGCTTGGTTTTCAAATGTTGGCCAATCTGTGTGGAGGTTATTAGATTGTTGTGTCTAAGGTTATAATTCAACCGGTATGATAAATGTCAGATTAGTTAATGTTTGTTCACATTTTTGTATGTAGAAAATACAATAAAGAATTTGATTTTTTAAAATAAACATTTAAAAGTAATTTAAAGAGATGGCTGCATTTGAGGGTAAATAAAGATGATTTAAGTCATACTATAAAATTTGAAATTTAGTACATTTATTAGTTATTACTGTTGGTATTTTATTTTAGAATTTGGAGTACTGCCTGAAATCGCCAAGGCAGTTGAAGAGATGGAATGGATGTAAGTTACTTCACTGTTAAGAGAACATTTAAAAAAAAAGTATTAAATGTGCAAAATGATGGACTATAAATATGTTATAGTATCAAATAAACGAAAAATAAATACCTTAAAATTCTCCATCCATAATATGTTATATTCCAGTTGCCAGCAACTCCCTCTAACAATGTCCTTTTTACTTCTATCCATGTCATATTGTCTGTGAAAAGAGTGAAGATTGATTGTAAGGCCCATTGTTTATTTTGAATCTAATGTTATAATGTGTTTACTCTTTTTAAACTTGTTTCATGTTTTATCTCATATGAATATAGGGCATATTACACATATTACATGCAATTGCCATGTACATATAAAATAAATAAAATTTACTTTTCTTCTTCATATATTACAAAAATCACACTAGATATTTAATTCAAAATGTATTATTATAAGCATCCCCACTTATGAAATTTTAAAATTAATTAATATATTTTTGAATATTTCATTTAGTTAACTTTTAAAATATTCTGATAATATATTATCTCTAAAGAAATATTAACGTCAATTAATAAAAATTATGATATTTTTGAAATTATTACTGTTATAGTATAATTGGAATCATCTCTATAGCTAACTTAGTGATTGGGTATTTGTAGTATGTCCATCAGCTTCAAATTTATCTCATTTTTAAATTCTTAGTCTATTCTTTAACTTTTTTTTTCCAACAGGCTTCCAACTGATGTTCAGTCAGAAGCCATTCCACTGATTTTGGGTGGAGGTGATGTTTTGATGGCTGCTGAAACTGGTAGCGGTAAAACTGGTGCTTTTTGTCTTCCAATTTTACAAATTGTGTGGGAAACAATTAAAGACTTAGAACAAGCAAAAGGAGAAAAAGGTGGAACAGCTCCAACAAAAACATGTAAATATATTTAAAAAGTTGGTGCCTGTCACATGGATAGGTGGAGTGACCTTGGTAAACTGGTGTCGTTATAAATTTTTTATAAATAAATCGTTTTTTATAAATTTTTTAGCTGCTACTTGGGAATTGAGTACATCTGATCGAACACCAGCCCTTGCTGTGTCTGCTGATGGATTGGTTTGTCAGGCCAGAGAATTTAAGGAATGGCATGGTTGCAGAGCGACCAAGGGAGTATTCAATAGTGGGAAGTATTATTATGAAGCAAAGATAACTGATGAAGGCCTATGTCGTGTTGGATGGTCAACAATTCAGGTAAATTTAAATTTCATTTAAGGTTCAGAAAAATCAAAACATTTTCAATTGTTGATAAATGTTATAAAGATATTTTTTATTCTAGGCTTCACTTGATCTTGGAACTGATAAGTTTGGCTTTGGTTTTGGTGGTACTGGGAAAAAATCTAATAATAAGCAGTTTGACAATTATGGTGAATCTTTTGGTAAAAATGATGTTATAGGTTGTAAACTGGATTTAGATTCTGGAAAAATTTCTTTTTCTAAAAATGGAGTTGATCTGGGTTTAGCATTTACCATTTCTCAACAAGTTCAGCGTTCTCCTCTTTTTCCATCAGTTTGTTTAAAGGTAAATTCATGTATTTAGTGGATTCTCTAAGTTAAGCCATAAATAAGATCTATCTCATATATATGCTGTTATAGGTGCATATACATTTTCTTCACTATTCCATGATCTTTTTTACTTTGTTTTTTGTAGAACGCAGAAATTACATTTAACTTTGGTACTAAACCATTTAAATACAAACCAGATGGCTTTAAAGCTTTGACTGAAGCAGATAAGTCTTGTATAAAAAACAATGATCCTGTTAAAGCTCCTTTAAAGAAATTGAATAATGCTCCCCAAGCCCTTGTTATTGAAGTAAGTATTTAACTATCATATTAGTAAATTCAATCCTGTAACATCACGTCTCAATTATTATGATATTAGTTATTCTAAAATTAATTTTATAATTCCTGTAAAATTATTCTCACATAAAATTATTTTTTCATATTAATTGGTATGTAAATTTTTAAAAATATTTGTTAGTCTTTTAATTAGTATTATTGATGTGTTATTCATGAATCGTTGGCAGTATTTTAAATCTCTAGTTTTTAAACCATAAAAGAAAACCACTTACTTGTTAAACAAATAATTTTTTTTTATGAACAATTTTTATTGAGAAAAAAATACATTTTGCCTCAATTAAGGGCATTGAGTATTTATGATGAATGAAGTACAATCATACCATATATACAATAAAAGAACAACAAGATTATAAGAAAATAAAATAAAATAAAACTTGGAGTAAACAAATAATTAAGAATGAAACATACCTTTTTTATTATTATTATTTTTTTAATAAGATTGTCTATCAATTCTGCTATTAAATATTTTTTTTTACTAAAGTCTCTGAATGTTATGCCATTATTTAATATCACTAAATATATCCGTAATTCAAGTTAAATAACAGAATTATGTGAATCCATGCTTTTGCAGTCTGTACATTTACTTTACTGTGTTTAAACTGGATCCAATCAGTGTCAATAGTCAACAATGTTATCAGTTCTTTTCAAAATCCCTATCTGCCATGAAACTACCTGATTTGTAATATTATGGGTTAAATATATTTTTAAACGATTGTTTGATTTAAAGAAAGTTAACAGTATGAAACCAATTATTAATTGTTTGTACTGCCTAATATTTAAAAAAAAATGTGTATATGTATACACACACTGTCTTGCTTATATGAAATTGCTGTTATATATTTCTTTGCTAATTTCAAATGTTTATATTTTACCATAAGAGGAACAAATTTATTAGTAAAGAATATTTTCATTTAATTATTGTTTTTTTTTTAATTAGTAAATTAAAACAGTATAATAAATAACGATGTTATCCTAATATTCCTGATCATTGCAAAGATTTATAAAATTTATTTGCTCTAAAATACTTCAAAATTTTAATAGTATATGTATTATTCTTCCATTTGGTGCAAAATTAAGGCTTTAAATTTATGGGGAAAAAATGTAAATAAAGTTTTTTTTTTTCATGATTTACTTTAAGATAGGTTCCTGATCACACTGACAGAAAATTATTTCACTCTAAATAGTGGTGCCTGATCATGTTAAATTGAAACCATGAAGGTGATTAAAATACTTGATTTCAATCCATGACTAGTTTTATTACAAATTACATACTGATCAGGAGTAGATCAATCAGTTGAGGCTAAAAATATTAATTAACAAATATTCGTCCATGTGTGCCATTCACAAAATGCCAGCATCTCTTTATCTTTGTTTGGTAAAAATCAGAATTTAATTTATTTCGAATTAAAGGAATACAAATCAATTAAATTTAGGTTAGAGCTAAACAAAATGTAATTTACAGGCATTAATGATCTTGAAGTTTTATACCTTAAAGCCCCAACAAACAAACAAGATCAATCAATTATTTTCTGTAGTATACAAATGACGAATTTTCACCATACTGAGGATTATGTGTTAACATAAAATTTATAAAAGATAAAAAGAAAAATAGTTTGTCCATTTCAGCATTTTAAGCTATGAATCCAGAACCAACGAGCACTGGCCCCTACATCTCCATTTTGAAGATTGGATAATTTTACGATCGCTGCTCAATCTATTTTAAAGTCTATCCCTCTATCTGTCACATATAGGGGTAGATCCAGTTGAGCAGGATGAAGGGTGACTGCTCTGGATGTGGATCAAATATATGATTTATACCTCATATTGGAGATCTTAATAAAATTTGAAGTTATAAGATGAAATGAATATGAGTTTTGCAAGTAAATATAAAATGTTTAAAAGACATACCCCTATTTTTTAAAATCTTTGAATTATTTCATATAACCTGCTCTTCCAAGACGGTCCTGCAATATCTGATTGCTTAGGGCTCCAAAATGTCTAGATCCACTAATGATTAAATGAAATCTATTTTCATCACTTTTGGTGATGTGAGGGAAATAGAAATTTGAAGTTTTATTAAGGTTAAACCATTCTCATACATCTGACAGCAATAGTGAAAACTGGAGCACTGAACCCCTTACAAAACACTTATTTGAAGATAAAAAAAATATCATTAATCAGATATTTCTTCTTTGAAAAATGGCCTAGTTAGGGAAATAGAATTTTGAATAATGAGACACTAAAAAGAGCAATAACAGTTAACTGGATAACATTAAAACTGAAAGTAGATGTAAATCAGGTTATCCTCAATTTGACAGGAACCACCTGCAGTTTGCTAACCATGAAAAATAGATAAATAAAGTTCGGAAAACGTTATTTTGCCTCTTTTTCTTTCTTCATTTCTTTACGTGTATATTTATGCTGTTCTACCAATATATATAGTTTTGTTTATAGTTTTAAGTGTTTTGTACATAGTTTTATGTTTTGTATATAGCTTATTCATTTAAGGTTTTCTTTCTTTATTTTTTTTTTATTTTATGTATTGTTTCAAATTTTTATGCCATAAGTAGTATTTTCTTTTTGTACAATTTTGTTATTCTAAAGGGACTTTATCCAGAATAAAGCTGTTTTTCTATCTATCTAAATAGATCAAACCTATGTGATTTAAAGTAATATTACTATGTGATAGAGGAATTATAATTTTTTATCATGTACTGAGAATTATTCTCATAAAATTTAGCCACATATATTATCAGAGGCTGATGTAAAAAGAAGTAACTTAATAATAACAGAAATAGGAATGTTATATGCTGTCAAATTTACCATCTTGAGAAAATTGGATTTTTATGATTATTTAAATTTAAATTTGACCATGAAAACAAATTGATTCCTAGGATAAAAATTATTGAATTCCATGCTGGAAATGTCTTTATCATTTTGGTGTCAGTCAGAATACAAGAAAGTTCATACCACTAGTGGATCCAGAGTATTTAATTTTGGGGGGAGGTTTCAGCCCGAAAGCTTTTTTTTTCATGTATATTACAATTATTACTTTAGAAAAAAAAAAAAAAAAGATACTAACTACCTATATGAAACGGTGTTTAAGTGATTCTTGAATTCTATTAAATGTGATTACACGTACAATGATACTTTAAGAGATAATTTTTTAATATTTTTTTCCTTAAAACATGGTTACATTTTACCATTTTGGGGAGCTTCAGCAAATATTTTCTCAGGTGCAAGTAAATTATCAAGCTTTGCCTTGTTTAATGGTATCTACAATTTGTAGATAATATCATGGTCTTTGTCAACAACAGTCAACAAGTATAAGTAATGTTTAAGCAGCCTTTAAGCTTCTGCAAAAAAGTTAGTCTCTATCCAAACTATCAAATAAGAAAAATAATGACCAAAAGGGATAAAACAGGGTATAACAATAATTAGTCTTTTTCATCCTATAACTCTTCAATTTTAATTTTTTTTTTAATGAACTTACTTTAATTTTCAGCCTTCAAGAGAGTTGGCTGAGCAAACATTACAGCAGATAAAAAAATTTCAAAAATATTTAGAAAAACCTGCTGTGAAAGAACTTTTAATCATTGGTGGTGTCAATGTCAAAGAACAAATGGCCACAATTGAATCTGGTGTAAGTCGGTTAAAAATAATATTTAATATTCAATGTTTTATTATTATTCCAATAAAATTCACATACTATATACATAGACATAGTAAACTTCAACATCAACTATATGGACTTCAATCAAACCGTTATAATAATATTAAAAAGTACTAATTCAGATAGTCTTAAATACCAGTTCATATTGCTCTAGGATGACAAAATATTTTTTGAATTTTCAGACATACTTGAGTTGAACTTATTTGCTGATGTTTTTGAATGACCTCAAACAGGTCAATATTAAGCCTTAGCTACAAATTTAACGTTGTATCAACTTTAAATTTAATATCTCATTTTTATGCATTATTAGTTATATAACAATAAGTTAATTAACTTTTCAATGATATAATGGTGAATTTTTATGTATGTAGGTTGATATTATTGTTGGAACTCCTGGACGATTAGAGGATTTAATTGGTGGAGGTTACATTTCTCTTGCACAGTGTCGATTTTTTGTTTTGGATGAAGCTGATGGGCTTCTTAAGCAAGGATATAAGAATTTCATTAATAATATCCATGCTCAAATCCCTAAATTCACACCTGATGGCAAAAGAATGCAGATGATTGTTTGTTCGGCTACTCTTCATGATTTTGAAGTGAAAAATATGGCAGTAAGTATTCATTAAAAGTAAAGATAATTTTATATTTATACCAAAAAAAATTCACTAAGTTAACGAGGTGTTTTGTTCTATAAATTTGTATTGTTTTGATTTATGATATAAACTGTTTATAACAACATATCAGCTTTAACTACAAATATGTCAGTTTCTGTGATTCATGAATCTACTTTAAGATAGTTTACGACAGTCAACCATTAACCCACAAAAAAGTAAAATGATCAAATATAGTGAGCTCCCTCATAGTACTTCTCAAATCTATTTGTAGAAATCACTTTTCTGTGAAAAAAATTATTCTATTCCCACTTTGCGTAAACATTGCATTCCTGGAGAATCTCATGTCAATCAAAGTTGTATTTTGACCACTGAATAGGATGTTTTACAAGCAATGGGCCAGGATATTCAAAATCTGTTAAACTTTTATAAGTTTTATTCATTCCGTAAATTTTATATCGATATAAATTTACATGAACTATGATGAAATGAATGAAAAAAAAAAAAAAACCTGTACCAATACAACCCACGAAGGGTCTTGGGTTCAGTACTATCTAAGCAAATATTGTTTCGTGATAAACGGTTAAGCAAGGGGGTGATTTGACCAAGATCACGATCAACTGCCAGGTTTTTTCCTTTTAACTAATTATATTAAAGAGTACCTACTTTATACAGGCTAGGTGTACCCCAGGAGGGTATCCCGAGGGTGTTATATAAATTAAAAAAATTGAGCACAAATATTTCTAAAATTGTAAAGAACAAACAACAATTTGGCAATTTTTTATGTCTTGAATTAACTTGTAATAATATTCATCAATTACTATTGCCGGGGACATCTTATAACTAATGGAAATTTAGTGTACTGGTCAGTGAACTGATGGCTCTAAATCTAAAAATAAACTAATAATTTAAATCAATATGATAAAAACACTTTGAATGATACTTATTTGATTTGTGAAAGAATAAGCTATGATTGACGAAGTAGCTAATAAATAGATTAGAGAGAGTTATCACTGAGTCTATTGAATAGAGTAGTATGTTTTATTAAATGAGCACTCTTTAATAAAACATCTACTGCTTCGCTGATGGCACTGCAATTCTTTCTTCTCACAAAAATTCTACTATCGCTGCATCAATTGCCCTTCAAAACCACCTCAATGATCTTCAAAACTGGTCCAAAAATTGAAATTAGCAGTAGCAAATCCACCCACATGACTTTCTATCTTAGGAAAGCCTCTTGTTCACCCATAACGATTAACAATAACCCAGTGCCTTCAAAAAACTATGTATAGTATCTTGGACTCTATTCAGACAAAAAACTTACCTGGAACATACATACTAAATAAAAAGACAAGAACTGACTAGACGATATAACCAACTTTCACATCTTCTGGACTCAATTAACTTACGAAACAAGCGACTGATCCACAGCATACTGAGACCAATTTGGACATACAACCCAAGGAGCAGAACTTTAGGGTTCGGCAAAACAAATTACAAAATAAAAAATTCTACGAAAAATTGCCAACGCACCTTGGTTCATTTCAAATAACATTATACATAATGACTTAAACATCTCAACAGTAAAATCCCACATCCACGACAGATACAATTTATTTTATTCTTCAACTCTGAATGACATCAATTCATTAGTCCTTTCTATTTCCTACTCCATGTTATCTGATCAACGCGTACTGAACAGAAAATGGCCAAGAGACCTACTCCTACATTAATAATAAGAAATAACTAAAACTAATCAAGCAAACTCACAGCTAATGCCTAATACATCAAATTTACTAGATGTGCGGCAGTGCAGGTACAAATGGCATAAAATGTTAATTGAAGGAAGCTAGTCGACTATTCTATATATCATGGGCAATAAATATTCAGAACACAGTCTTTTAAAAAAAATTTTGATTTTTTATTTGTGCTAATGTTTCAACCCAAACATGTGGGTCATTTTCAGGGCGTGGTTCGAGCGCTGAAGGCTTTCAAGTAATGCTGCACTTGTACTTCAAGTACCCAATACTTATCACAATATTTATATTATGATATTTATCACCCATCATAAAACATTAAAATAAAAAAATGAGAAAATTATCAGTGATTTCCCAGGCCAGTTCACCTGTATAAAGTAAAATGTGCATAGAATAGTTCAATTAGGTTAGGCGCATCTTCAATAACATAAATTTTAGATTTATATATCATTTATTTACAATAATATTTATAGATTTATTGGTTGTAAATAGCTGAATTTTTAATTCTGTTAATTTTTCTTTGTATATAAATTAATTATTTGACTAAGTTGACCATCAGGCCAATAGTCAAGTAATGTAAAATGTAAAATGTAATATTTTGCGGTTATGAAATGGGACAGCACTAAAGCTAATCAGTTTACTAACATAATTGAATATTCTCCTGAAATAGGTGATGGCAGTATAATATCCGTGACCCTACTATAACCTAAACATACAACAAAAAATTTGAAATGTGTTAATAATTATTTTGAACTAATTTAATTTAATTTTACATTTTTAATTTAGGAAAGGTTGATGCATTTTCCTACTTGGGTAGATTTAAAGGGTGAAGATGCAGTGCCAGAGACGGTGCACCATGTTGTTGTTAAAGTAGATCCTCAGCTAGATACCAGCTGGCACTCAATGAAGCAGCATATTCAAACTGATGGGGTCCATAGGCAGGACAACATTGGGCCTGGAAAGAAATCAGCTGAAGCTCTCTCAGAAGCTGTCAAGGTTTTAAAAGCAGAGTATGCTCTAAAAGCTATTAAAAAACATAATATTGATAGAGCAATTATATTTTGCCGAACAAAATTAGACTGTGACAACTTGGAGAGATATTTTAAAATAATAGGTAAAATTAATTTTATTTTTTAGTAATTGATAATCCGTTTGTTTAATTTTAAGCACCACTTTTTATTTCCTCCTCCCATAAAAGGAAAAAAAAAAATTACATTATAACTTATATTGCAATGCTTCATCCATTTTGATATCCTAAATAAATAATGAAAAACCTAATAAAAGGTATAAATCATAAAAATTAATTTCATTTCTTAACTGAATGATTTATATTCATGTTTAGTTTATATATATATATACATAAAAAACAAAACAAAAAAAACAACATAATATTGATTTATATTCATGTTAAGTTTATATTGTTTAGTTTATATATATATATTAGAAGTGTAATTGGTTTTCTAGTTATTTTTTTCTTTAACTTACCACTGTGTGTGTATGTGAAAACAGCTCTAATGATTTTGATTAAACTCATCATATCAATGTAAAATCATGTGGGGTCTTTAATTTCAGGAAGGTGTTATCATCATTGAAATAGTCTGACAGGGCTTAAATACCGATTTTTCAAAATTTCTTGCTCTAAAGTACCTTTAATTTTGTTTAATTAAAAAAATTAACCATATTGCATTGTAGCTAATGATAAAAAATGGTTAAATATAAACTGAAAAGTTTAAATCTGCTGGCACTGAGATATTTCCAGCTTTGTTGCAGAAAGGTCTCTCAATAATAAAATGATATCTCTTGGAACTACTAAGAGGTAGCTTAGCGATAGGATATCTACCAGTTAAAGAAAGGTATCCATATTGGAGGGTATCCAATGTGCACTATATGAAGATCACAAAGCATTTAGACAAATATGCCTGTCATCTTTTCTAATGAAGACATTGGAGAAGATACTAGACAGGCAAATCAGAGAATACATATTGTATACTTTTCCAGTACATTCAAAACAATTTACTCACCAATCAGGAAAATCCTGTGAGGTGGCACTTCATAACATTGTTACAAGAATAGAAAAATCCTTAGTACAGAGGGAAATCATGGTAGGCATCTTCGTGGGTATCGAGGATGCCTTTGATAGAACCCCTTATGACATCATCATATATGCGCTAAGGAATAGAGATGTGGACTCTATGTCTTCTTTTAAGATAGCAATTTGCAAATTTTAAAAATATATATTAAAATGCCAAGATCCAGATAAACTATTAAAATAATAATAATTATTAATAATATTAATATAAATATTTTAATCAAACTTTAATATTATTATTATGAAGACCAATAATAAATATATGGTTTTGTTGTGGAAATGAAATTTGTCATAGGAGATTTTAAATTATAGTTTTTTTTTCCCACAGATTATTTGGATTTAGAAAATCTAAGATTTTGCATTTAATTTAATTAATTTTTTTTTTTTTTTTTAGCTACCTATAAAAATCATGAGATATATCAATACTGTTAAAACATTTTTAAAAGTTAAAAAAATATTGATTTTTATTAATTTTTGGCTGTTTTTATTATTATTATTATTTTATTTTTAATTCGTATGCCAATGGCAGAATGAAGAAGAAAACATTCTTGTTAGTTGTAATAACAATTTCTTGTATCGGTTCGAGGAAACCATTCCACCTCTGGAATGGTTGTTCTCGTTCTGAATGTCCTTGAATTCCGGGAGGCTTTGGGATTTTGTTCAATCTGTGTGTGAACGCTCTTAGGTTCCATTGCATTCTGTTTTCATTCCTACTTGAGATTTCTTTCTAGCGTCCATTTGGAATAATTATATAATAATTATATATTATATAAATTATATTATGGATTAAAGTGTCTACTGTATTGTTATTTTTAGTTTAAATTAATAAATCTTAAATTAATTAAATTGTGTGTATAAGATAGATAGTAAGATAAAAAGCAAAATATAAAACAGGAATAAGGAAATATTTCAGGAAAATTAAGACAAATATATGAATTTTACCAACCGAAAAATAGTTTTATTGCAGAATTATATTTTAATAAATACAGATAAAAACAAACGAATCTATAATATAACGTTTAGAATGAATTAAAAAAACAAAATGGTAAAATCTATATATAAATTAATTAAAAAATTGGAATTTATTAATTTTATTTTAATATTTTAGGACGTGGAGCAGGGAGAGACAATCCTTTTACATGTGTGTGTTTGCATGGAGATAGGAAACCAGCAGAAAGAAAATCTAATTATGATGCATTTAAACAGGGTCAAGTGAGATTCCTAATTTGTACTGATGTTGCTGCTCGTGGAATTGATATTGGATCCCTACCATTTGGTAAAGAAATAATTAATAGTCCTCTTAACCACCTAAATACTAAGTCTTCTATCGCTTTATTAGACCTTCCTTGTTAGTTGATTTCTACTCGTCAGGAAAAAGTTAGTCATGAGCATAAAAAATTCCTTTTATAAATAAAAAAAAGGCTCTTTTTCTACTTTGAACACACTAGTGATTTTTTTTTTTTGTTAATTTAATGATTTCATAGTTACAAATAATTGCTTTAACATGTAACGGGATTCATAATTGATACAACAAACATCTGTTTTATTAAATTGAGAACTTCTGTTTTTCATAAAACACACTGACATTTTTTGTAATCTACCATACCTTCTTATTTTGTGTAACAATCCATTTCTCTGTAGTCATTATAAGCTTCCTGTCACTTCCAAAATTTCCATTTAGTTCAAATAAATTTATTTCTGCACTTGAAATAACATTTTTTTTTTTCTTCTTCTTTTACAGCCATTATTTACTTCTTTCCAAATTTATTTTCACAGCTTTCTCTTACTTCCAGCGTCTATCCATAATATTATATATACTTTTCTCCTTTCCGTTATGTCTAGTGTCTTAACTACTTGCCATGTAAATTCTCAATCCCTTCCTGCTCACTATGACGAATTTCTCCAATATTTCAGCCTTAATTTTTACCATATTATTGCAGTCTCTGAAACATGGCTTGAGCCCTATATCCCTTCCTCCTCCGTTTCCTTACCTGATTATACCTTCATCTGTCATGACCGGGTGTCTGGTCTCTATGTCCACAATAGCCTGAAACCCCCTATCCTAGATATTTCATCCCCTTCCAATCATCTTCACATTGAATTCCTATTCGCTGAAATCTGTTGCAAAGCACATCCTCTCCTTTATGTGGTCGTATATCACCCTCCTTTGACCCATCCTTTAAATCAACCTTGTGCAATTATGTTCCTTTCTATAATAATATTATAATTTCCAGAGATCTTAATGCCAACCCCCCTCTGAATCCATCAACAAATGCTACTTGGAAAACTTCTTCTCCCTCAACCTTTTTATTGTTCCTTTCGCTTCTACACACCATACCTGTTGGTCGGACACCTGGCAGGACCTGCATATCATCGATTCAAAGTATAAACTCTTGTCCTGTTCTCAATTAACTCTTACCCATTCTTTTCCTTTCTTCTCCTGATCTCATCCAATTATCATACAATATCCAAATTCCCATGTTTGTTCCTAAAACCATAACTTTCCGCAACCTTCACACCCTCACCCGTGATAAAATCCTACCTGACCTTGAAACCCTAAATTGGAACAATATCTATTCCTGCACCTCTATTGATCATATGGTAGACATCCTCACTTCTAATGTTATCCATATCCTTGATATTCTTGCTCCTATTAAAATCTCTACCTTTCGTCGCCAACCTGATCCTTGGATGTATCAAGAAATTCGTGACATACAAAAGAGACGTGAGGCAGCCCAGTCCGTAGACACTTTAGACGAACTCGACTAGCAGATGATTATCAAGCGTACAGGGTACTTCTTAACTTGACACAAACAACGATGAGGAAAGCAAAATCTAACTTCTTTCTCGAAACCCTCTCTTTTGCTCCTGATTCTAAATCAATATGGCTAACCCTCCATAGACTCTTTCTTTGTAAATCCTCTTCCTGATCGGTCTACCCGGTTTCACCTAATAAATTAAATTGAATTCCTGCTTTATATCTTCCTCCACCAGCAACAGCTCACCCTACTCTTACCAGTTTTCCTTATCACCCTCATTTAACAGTGATAATTTCTATTTCTCCAACCGACCTTATTTCCTCTATAATGAAATCCCATACAAATTCCATCGGATTTGATGAAATATCCATCTGTTAAAATTATGCCTTCCCAAAGTCCTTCCTGTCCATTTCATCTATAATTTTTCCTTCCAGAACTATTTTTCCTACTGCTTGGAAAGAAGCATTAGTCAGACCTATTAACAAAATCCCCAATCCTACTCCTACAGACTACCGCCCAATCTCCATTCTCTCTAACCTTCCTAAACCTCTGGAAAAAATAGCTCAATCCCAAATCTCCAAATTCCTTGAAAACTCAAAACTACTTGATCCTATCCAATCTGGTTTTCGTCTTGGCTTCTCCACACAATCCGCTCTACTAAAAATTACCAATGGTTTACATACTGCAATGGACGAAAAAATGCTAACTGTGTTAATACTTCTCGACTTTTCCAAAGCTTTTGACTCCTTAGACCACTCTATTCTCTACACTAAATTAAAATCTCTATCCTTCTCCAACAGCTCTATCCTTTGGTTTCAGTCTTTCCTTTCCGACCGAACTCAACTGTGTTAATACTTCTCAACTTTTCCAAAGCTTTTGACTCCTTAGACCACTCTATTCTCTACACTAAATTAAAATCTCTATCCTTCTCCAACAGCTCTATCCTTTGGTTTCAGTCTTTCCTTTCCGACCGAACTCAACTGTGTTAATACTTCTCAACTTTTCCAAAGCTTTTGACTCCTTAGACCACTCTATACTCTACACTAAATTAAAATCTCTATCCTTCTCCAACAACTTAATCCTTTGGTTTCAGTCTGACTTGACTCTCTCAAGCAATCAGCATTCCGAACCAACACCTATCTTCCTTCCTTACACTGTCCTCTGGAGTGGCACAGGGTTCGAGTATTTTCCTACTCCTTTTTAATTCCTTTATAAATTATCTTCCAAAATCCATCTACCACTGTTTACACCATTTATACGCTGATGACTTCCAAATCTATTTATCCTTTCACCCTTCTGAGCTATTAGTCACATTTACAAATATTCAGGCGGACCTAGGTAGGATCAGTGCCTGGGAAAGTCTGAATAATTTAAAGCTAAATGCGATGAAAACTCAGATCATTATTATAGGTTCCAGTTCTCTTTTTAAATCCATCTCCTTCCTTCCGTCTATAGTCATCAACGATCATCCCATCACATTCAGCTTCTCCATTAAAACTCTAGGAATCACCATTGACGAAAACCTCTCCTGGAAACCCCATATCGCTCTCATCTCCCGAAAGTCAATAGGTACCCTTAAGTTATTTCATTGGTCCCGCCACCTACTCCCACAACCTATCTGCAAAGTCCTTGTATCCTCTCTTATTTTTCCCCACTTTGACTACGGCTGTGTGGTGAACAGAGGCATCCCGATGGTACTCGAGGATAGATTGAAGCGACTCATGAATTTCTGCTTAAGATTTGTCTTCGGTACTTCGAGGCGGTCTCATGTGTCCCACCTTTATGACGAGTTATATTGGCTCTTACCTTCTTCCCGCCGACAATATTTCCTTGGATCTTTCCTATTCCAAACAATCAACACCCGACACTCTTCCTACATCTACAGTCTCCTATAGTTCAAACCCATGGTCCACTGCCAGAAAACAAGATCCCTTATTTCCGATCTTTATATTCCTTCCCATAGAACTAAGATATTTGAATATTCCTTTATTACCCGCTCCACTGCTTCTGGAATTTCTTGCCATCGGATATCTGTTATGCCTCTTCCTTGTCCTCATTCAAATATCATTTCTACCAATTCCTTCTCACATCCCAAAATGACGTACAATGAAATAAATATCATGAATCAAATTTTGACTGAGGTGAATGGTTGTTGAACTTGTTTGAGTTTTAATTTTAAGAATCAGCCCATAGTGCTTATAACATTTTTTTTTTATTTTACATGATTTCTGTTTTTCTTTTCATTTAAATAATGTTTGTTTTTTCAAAATAGTGTTACTTTTTTATTTGCTTTAATATCCTTTCACTGAAGATATTGTATATATTCTTTAATTTTGATTAATGTAATTTTTGGCCAGATATGGTTTTTATTTTTTGTTCATAATTGTTATTCTTAAAGGACCTCGTCCCGGAATAAAGTTTATTTTCTATTCTATTATTCTATTCTAAAACAGAAGTAGTATCAATTATGAATCCCTTAACAGTGAAATAAAATTGATTAGTGTGTTTAAATTAGAAAAGAACAAAAAAAAAAAAAAAAATACCTTTTTAATATTTATAAAAGCTTTATATTGCTCTTAAGTCTTTGTTCACTAAAGCTTTAATGTGATATTTGGAGTATAATTGACTAATTAATTGTATTGCATTTTTATTCATGAGCATGATTTTGATATTAAGTTTCATGTCCTGAACATGATAAAGTATGATTGATTTAGAATTAAACTTAACTTTTTCTTTGAAACCTTTCCTTAAATAACTTAATTATTTATTTTTGTTTTATCAGTATTGATTATATTCAGTTTATTCTAGTCATGAACCTTACTCTTCCTGATGAAAAGTCAAATTATGTGCATCGGATTGGTAGAGTTGGAAGAGCCGATAGGATGGGTCTTGCTATATCCTTTGTTTCAACAGTTCCTGAAAAAGTTTGGTTTCATGGAGAATGGTGTGCTTCGCGAGGTAGAAATTGTTATAACACTGAGTTGACTGACAGGGGAGGCTGCTGTGTTTGGTACAATGAACCAAGGGTATGACATGGTTTCAATATATTTCTTTAAATTTTCTTACTGCACAGAAAACTGCTCCTGTAAATAAGTTGTAGTGATTTGAAAATTGATTATTTCTAACATTTTATTTACAGTAATTATTATTAAACTTTTATTTGATAATTTGAATATAATTGTAGATTGAATTGAAAATATATTTTCTTTCCACAGTATCTAGCTGATATTGAAGACCATCTGAACATCACTATAGAACAGGTCAGTCCAGACCTTGAAATACCAAAAAATGAATTTGATGGAAAAGTTACTTATGGAGCTAGAAGGGTTGCTAAAGGTAATGCCTTATATGACTTTAGTTGTAATTTTATTGATGTTAATGAATTGAATCTAGTACATATTATGGGTATTAAATAGTCAGGAGTTAGTTATTTTAAAATAGATATATGTATGTGAACAGTTTAGATCAAAAACGAAAAGTCGCGTGAAAGTGAAATTGAGCTCAAAAACGAAAAGTCGCATGAAAGTGAAATTGCATATTTAAGGTTTGTGTATACCTGGGATGTTAGAGCAACTTTTTCAGAAGTGCCACTTTATGTAATAGATTTGCTCGAAAATAGCTAATGATTTTGATTAAATTTATGATATCTTTGTAAAATTACACAGTTTCTAATATAATGTAGGTTTTATTCTCATTGACGTTCTTGACCAAGGCTTAAATGGCTAATTTTCAATATTTCTTCCTCCAAAGTACCTTTAATTTTTTTAATTTGAAATAATTAACCATTTCAAAATTAACATTTATATAAAAATATAAAATATGAAGGAATTTGATAGGTAAACAAGAGATTGTAACGAAGAATAGTTGTAATAGAGATACCAAAGGAATATGAGCGCGTCCGAAAGATTAGAACAGGCTTCCATGCATAACATGAGCTTAATATAATACGTTCTCCAACAATATTATATATATATATATATATATATATATATATATATATATATATATATATATATAATATATATATATATATAAACATATGCGGTTTTCATAAATGCTATTGTTTGTATTATTTAATAGTGTAGATTACAGCAATATAAAAATTAAAATTTTTATATATAACAGTACTTAAACAAATAAAACTATCCACAATGAAATAAGAACAAATATAGCACCCTTCTTCATCAGTGGCACTCTTGTCAGACTAAAAATATTTTGAGGCACTTAATTATTTATTATAATAAAAGAAATTATTGAGATGTACAGTTGTATACAGAAATATCTAGTGTGAAACTAAATAATAGAATAATAGAAAAATAATTTTATTCTGGGACGAAGTCCCTTCAGAATAACAAAAAAGTACAGAAATTAAAATTTTACATCTGGCCAGATAAAAACAAACATAACAAATTAAGATAATGATAGGTCATTAAAGAAAAGAAAAGAAAAAAATATTGGTTATACATACTATATACAAAATAAAATAAAAAAATCTATATAAAAAACTCTTGAAACCATACTAAGATACTTAAAACTATGTACAATGTTAAAATATAAATAAACCCTTTTAGAAAAAATAAAAAATACAGAAAAAATAAATGTATATTCTTCTTAACAGTAAAATCTGTTTCTGTTGAAAAGAAAAAAAAAAAAAAAGAGAAAAAGAAAGTCGAATCTATAATAAGTATTCAGGTCATGAGCTATATGTGAATATGGTCTTATAGATAATGTGTAATTTTACATAAAAGATTAGCTGGTGCCTGACTGTTTTTGGGACAGGAATTGGAATAGGAGGGTTTTGAATGTAGATAAGGATGAAGAATGTCGAATTTTGATAGGAAGGGAATTCCAGAAACTAACAGAACGTGCAATAAAGGAGTTTTGGAACGAGGCAGATCTGTGAGAAGGAATGTAAAGGTCGGAAGGTCGAGATCTTGTGGAGAGGGAGTGGACTGAGGACTTGAATTGGAGAAGGTTGTAGGCGTAGGAAGGACGATGATTGTTGATGATATGATAGAGGAATGTACCTAGGAAATATTGTCTTCGAATGGAGGGGAAGAGCCACTCTAACTCAGTGTAATGGTGAGAGACATGGTAGTATCTCGGGGCACCAATTACAAATCTCACGCAACTGTTCATTATTCTTTTCAGTCTGTCGCGGAGCTCCACCGAGAGTCCATCATACACCACACAGCAGTAGTCAAAGTGGGGGAAGATGAGAGAGGAAACGAGGAGTCTGCGCGTATGTTGAGGTAGGAGATGGCGGAAGCAATGGAATAGTTTGAGGGTAGAGACTGTCCGTCGGGAGATGTGAGAAATATGGTGACTCCAGGAGAGGGTTTGATCAATAAATAGTCCTAAATTTTTTACAGAGGAGTAGAAGGAGATTGGCTGGTCACCAAGGTTTAGTATGGGAAAGTCCGTATAGGATCTAAGGAGGGGCTTGGAACCAATGACAATGGCCTGAGTTTTTGAAGCATTTAACCTTAATCCGTTTAATTTTGCCCAGGCACAGATTCGATCTAGGTCTGCTTGGATCTTAGTAAATGCTACCAATAGCTCAGGGGGAGAAAAGGATAGGTATATTTGAGAATCGTCTGCATAAAGGTGGTGGGAACAATGGAGAATTGAGTCATGGAGGTCATTGATATAGGAACTAAAAAGGAGAGGAGATATGCTAGATCCTTGGGCAACTCCAGAGGATAAAGGCAGGTAGGCAGATAGTGGTTGATTAGGAATGGAGACTGCTTGGGTGCGTTGTGATAGGAAAGATTGGAACCAAGAGATGGAGCTATTGGAGAAGGAGAGTGATTTTAGTTTGTTGAAAAGGATGGGATGGTTAATGGAATCAAAGGCTTTAGAGAAGTCAAGAAGTATAAGGACAGTTAGTTGTTTATTATCTATTGCAGTCTGAACATCATTAGTAATTTTGATTAAGGCGGATTGTGTGGAGTAGCCGGGACGGAAACCAGATTGGAGAGGATCGAGTTGGTTAGACTTTTCTAGGAAATTGGAAACTTGGGATTGCACCAATCTTTCTAGGGGTTTTGAGAGATTGGAAAGAATTGAGATTGGGCGAAAGTCTTCGGGAGAGGATGGATTAGGCTTTTTATTTAAAGGGAGTACAATGGCTTTTTTCCAAGAGGAAGGGAATATTGAGTTCTGTAGGGAGAAATTGTAAATGAAAAGGAGAACTGGGAGGATTTCGGGGAGACATAATTTTATCAATTTGACAGGAATGCCATCTGGTCCTATGGAATTGGTGTGGGATTTCATTACTGCGGTTAGTAAGTCAGTCGGGGAAATGTAGGAGAAATAAAAGTCATCATCATTAAATGATGACTCAGGAGCAAAGTTGGAAGAGGAGGGAAGAGAAGAGGTAGAGGAGGCAGAAATAAAATGTGAATTTAAATCGTCAGGTGAAACGGAAAAGAACAGTGAGGAAGGGGATCTAGAAGGTTCACAGAGGGAAAGTTTGCGAAGGATTAGCCATTTAGATTTGGGATCTGGGGCAGATGACAGGGCTTCATGGAAGTAGGAAGCTTTAGCTCGCCGAATTCTTGTTTGTGTCAAATTGCGGAGCACCCTAAACGCTTGATAGTCATCTGTAAGCCTAGTACGTCTAAAGCGTCTGCGGGCAGCATCACGCCTCTTCTGCAGATCCTTGATTTCTTGACACATCCAAGGTGCAGGCCGGCGGCGAAAGGTTGAGGTTTTTATGGGAGCATGGGTGTTAAGGATATTGAGGAGATTGGAAGTCAGGATCTCAACCATGGAGTCGATGGAGGAGCAGGAATATATTTCGTTCAAGTCTAAGGTTTCAAGGTCAGGTAGTATTTTTTCACGGGTGAGAGTGTCTATCTGACGGAAAGTGAAGGTTCTCGGATGAATCAGAGGGGTTTGGATATTATATGTTATTTGGATCATGTCGTGAGACGATAAGAAGGATACTGGCAGTTGAGAAGAGGAGAGGAGATTTATTTCGGAGTCTATAATGAAGAAATCTAACCAAGTGTCGGCCTTGTGGGTGTGGTGAGTAGGATAAAAAGGAACAATAAAGAGATGGAGGGAAAAAATAGGTTTTCTAGATAGGTTTTGTCTTTGGAATTAGAAAGGAAATTGGTATTGAGGTCACCGGCGATGATTATTCTAGGATAGAGGGGAACAAAGTTGAGTAGGGTTGATTCTAAGGACGGATCAAATGGAACAAGGGGAGGACGGTAGATCACTATGTAAAGGAGAGGGGAATTATTACAGGTAATTTCTACTAGAAGGTACTCCACTTGTGGATGTTCGGAGGGTGGGGAGTAATCAAGGATTCGGGACTTCAGGCTATCATGGACAAATATGGCCACCCCACCACCAGTCCGGCTGACCCGGTCGTGGCGGATGAGGGTGTAATTAGGTAAGGAGACAGATGAGGACGGAATATAGGGTTTGAGCCAGGTTTCTGAGATTGCGATGATGTGAAAAAAGTTTTGAGAAAAGTACTGCAGGAATTCATCATAATGGGCGGGAAGGGATTGCGAGTTAACGTGGCAGGTGGTTAGGATGCTAGACATGGGGAGGATTTGATGGGAAACAGTCAGAAATTAGCATAGAGGAAATGAGGCATATATCATATTCTGAAAAAAAATTATGAAAAGTACTGATAAGCAAAATAAAAGTGAATAATGAAAAAATAAGTGAGAAATAAGAGTAAGAAAATAAACAAATTAGTAAACTGGAGCTGTGAGAAATTTTAACCAAAATCTTCAATGTTATTTGGGCACCAATGAAGACAAAAAATACTTTGAAGAACGAGAAGAAGAGATGAAACCTGTGCAGTCAGGCGAAAACTTCTAGATCCGATGCCTGATTAATCAAGATTACTTGATGGCCGTCTTCTTTTCGGCAACGCACAATGCCGGCAGAGAACCATACTAATACATTAGATGGCTATGAAAAACATATGGTAATTAATTGTTTTAAATAAGGTTTCGTACCATCTATAATTTTTACTTTCACTTCCCTTTGTCTAAAAATAATTATTTCTGCTAAGAGGATGGTAAGTGAAAATTGTGTGGTGCGCCCACAACACCATATTTTTTAACATAAATTATAATTTTTCTTAACAAAAAAAAAACTGTTAAAAGTTACCTGTTAGAAACGTTCTAACGGGTGTCCCTTAAATAGAAGGAAATATTTTAATAGTAGAAATAAAAGAATTCATATAAACAAGTTCCCAATATCCAACAGAAAAGTAGAAAATTTAAGATATGTCTTTTTCTTAAGTGAGACATGTTTTTTTTTTTAAAATAGGTAATGATAAGTAGAAAAATATTTGGTTTAAGTAT